TCAAAAGATGGAGTAGCTTACATATAAAAACCTGTACCCTTCTGAGTGAACTGCACCACCTGAGCCCTCAGCCCGTCCCCAGCCATGCTCTTTTCTGTTAGTTGCACACTCTTCTGTGAGTTATTTTTACAAAGTCAACAGAAAATATTTTACTTGTGCTAAAATGCAAGGTTGTTTTTGCAAAAATAATCAAGTCCCTTTTGCTGATAAAATAGGGAAGACATAGTATGTGTTGTGAGGCCTGTTGAAGTAATTTTTGATTATATAATAAAATACTTGACTAAGTGAAGTACATCACGCTGTGTACATAGAAACCTCAGTTTGTGTACCCATAATTGCCCAGAGCATTCTTTCTTGTTGCATTTGCATCTTTTGGTATTTCACATCCTTGTTTAAATGTTTACCAAACAGCTCAGATGGCCAAGCAATTGCAAAAACAGACAAACGTGTAATACGCAGTAAATGCTGTAACATGAGATATACAAAGAACCACTGCATGGGTTCAGGCCCTGATCCAATAAACCGTAAACACAGAAAGAAGACTTCATTGGCCTCAACACATTTTTCACTGAATCTTTACTGGCATTAGAACTTGCTTTGGAAGACAAATCGCATGATTAAAATCTAAGTGTTATACATGTTGGGTGTGGACAAGTGACATAATTTCTTGCAGGCACTGAATGTTCTACACCACCACACGTTTTTGATCTTGAGCCACAAAACACAAAGTAGTTGCTGATAGCATCAACTTTGCTCAGGTGAATGAATATTGAAACTTGTCATTGACTTCCATGGTTTTTTTAAGGCAGAAGAAAAAGTAGTATTTTTTACCAGCACAAGAACTTCTCAAAGAGAAAAACATTTGTCAACCAATGTACTTTTTACAGTCATGATGTCTTACAGTCATCATGATGGAGATTGGAAGTGGGACCATAAACTTTGGCTTTTCCAGACTTTCTGTGTGCCCTTGTTAAAGTCAATTGACGTCTTCATAGGGAAGATTCAAGTACCTCTGGAGCTTTCTTGAATTCATATTCTTGTAGTCATCTGTCTGCCTCAGTCCACATTTGTCAAGATGGAGCAGAGAGAATGGGAAGGATCAGAACAATCTCTGCTAACTTAATGCCTTACATACTCCTAAAATAAGTGCTCTTATTCTTAGTTGCAAAGACAGACTCTCAGGATTCCTTCTTCTCTGGCAAATGCTTTCATCCTTGGGCATATAACTGGTGAAGCAATGGGAGAACTTGTTTTCAACACTGACAACAGCATCGTTTTTAGCCTTCTGTGTGTACTCACCCAGATTTTAGTCTGTTCTTAAGTTAAATCTGGATCCCCAAAAATCAGTTGCTGTGATGGAATCACTTCTTGTTAACAAACACCTCAGGTTAATTGTCAAGAGAGTGACTCTTGGGTTTACGTGTTTACGAGTCAATGTTAGAAAGATGTGTGCCTGGGACTTTTTTTTTTTTTGTCATTTTATGGGTTACTGACCTTGCTAGGCTGGGATCACTTTAGGTGAAATTAAGGTAGCATGGGTAGTACTACATGACTTTTAGTTTGTTCTTGTCACTCACAAATGGTACAGAGGAAGCTTTTAGCTGAGAAATCAGAGGAAATGGTGCATAAGGTTTTGGTGTAGGATGCTAAGGTACTGTTTTAATTTTTTAGGAAATGTTACCAAGGCAGTGAATGGAGAAGCTGTACTTTTTAAAGAGAAAGGAGTTGAAAATAAAACCTGACAGTCTCAGTAATTTAATTAATGAAATAACAATAATAAATACTCATAAACTGAGGTTGGAGCAGGTGTTTGAAAATTCTCCTTAGGCTGCTCAATTTTTGGTGAGTAATTACCAGACTAAGAGCAAAATGTCTCCTTTCCCATGAGTTGGCTAAGGACAAGAGAGGCACTGCTCTGGCTGAAATAGCCATTAATGGGAAAATTATGTCCTGAACCTCAGATGTGTTTGAAAAGTGAGAGAACATTTCCTTCATGTTGACAGACTGGAAGGCAATTGAGAATTAAATGCATAGAAAACAGACGAATGTTGTTACCCTGAACATTTTGTTATGCGAGTAGACTACTTCTCTGAAGCTGGCCTCTGTTGAAATCCCTCACTTTTTTGAGGACAGGCATTTGGAAGCTTGCACGTCAAGTTCTGCTCTTTCCCACCTGATATCCCTCACTTCCTGTGTTCTTTCTCTTGACATCAAAGTCTAAGACAGTGCAGTCTCTCATACTCCAATCTATTGGTCTTTCCCTTGGAACCAGGATTCTTTGATTTCTTGTATTCTCCATTTACCTGATAATCCAGAAGACATTTTTTCAGAGGTGTATATTTTCTGTACTGCTTTAAAATGACCAGATTTCAAATCATCTTGAAAACCAAAGAATTACTAAAACCCCATTTTTTCCTTGACCTTTTCATTTGCTCCAATTAACTTTTCCTCTGTCTATTTTGCCTGCAAACTCCCTGGTTGTATTCTTGCTTGTGTTGCCTTGATCTCTCTTCATCTAATTGCTTTATATTCCCAGGATTCTCAGTCCTGACCTTCTTGCAGTGTGAAAGCTGCTGTTGCCACCCTTGCCAGGGAACTTCTGCCTTGCTCAACTTTTCCTAATTCATCTGTTCCTAACCAGCTTGTATACTTATTTCTACTTGATTTTCAACCTGCTCTGGGCTCTCTTTTAATTCTGGCTGCTCTTTCACTTCATGCCTCTCAACCTGGCAGGTTGAATCAGAAAACCACAGAAATCCACTCAGAGGAATATAAGAAAAGAGGGCCCTAAGGGAGGTCCTGAGAGATACTGGCAGTGACTCAAGGAAGAAAAAAGAGCCAGAGCCCTTTCTGCTCACACTTATTCCACACTCTCCTTCCTCGTTCCTGTGTGCTACGCTTGGCTCTCCCTTCATCTCCCTGGTCACCTCTATAGTCTCTTCTCACAACATACTTGAACCACGAGGATTAACAGGAACTACTTGAGAACCCTGGAGATGTATTTAGAGGGAAACCAGAAATTAACTGCTCTGTAGGTATTCACATAGCACCTGAAACAATTACCTATTCCACTTCCAGGTTAAACTGGGGAAAGGCTAGCATTTGAAGCACGTGTGTATTCCAGATGCCTTTCCCATCCATATCTCCCATATCCCTCTGTAGTGTCTATATCATGAAATGTGCAGAGGAAAGTCTGATTTATGTATATGGACACTGAACCCTTGCTGAAAGTAGATCTGTGTAAGTTCCCGGAGGAAGGACAAAACAAAGAAGCTGGAAAATGTATTTATAGGAAAAAACCACCTCAAGCCACACCAGGACCAATTCCTCTTCCCACCCCCAAACCCCAATCTAAACAGTAAGAGGAAGAAAATAAAGGATAAAAATTGTGACCTCTGAGTTCTGGAGATGGCTTGGCTTTTCAGAACATACGATGGAATCAGTCCTATCACTTGAAGTAGATACTAAACATGTTAAGTCACATGTCTGAAAGACTTTAAAACTTATCCCAGATGTTTCTATAGTTTTTCCAAGACTTAGAAATACAACCTTACCATGGCATAGATTATACATTGCAACTAAGAGGAGAGAATAAAGCTAGCAGCAGTTTTACAGTGTTCTGGTAACAGGTAAAAGATCACTGTACAAGACATCACACTGTACAAGCCTGGTTCATGCCTGTGCACAGAGACCTCATCTTTGCGAGATGTCCAGTCAGGTCAAAAGCTTCTTTGCGAACCCAGGAAACACATAATAAGGATGGGCAAAGATCTGGTAGGTAAAGGGACGGGTTAGACTTTTTGCCAAGATAAATACATTTACATTATTATCAGCATAATTAGGTCACTTGAGGGTGAGGTTTTCCATATATTTTTTTACTAACATAAAGTCTAGGCACACCTTTCCTGGAGCAATGGAAGATTAGCTTCCTCAGTACTACAGGTTGATGCAGTGTGTGTTCCCAGATGATATGGTGTGGCCACATCCACTTTAAACCCAGGCTGCATCACAAGGCCCAACAAGCACTTTAAAATAGATGCAGATTAGCCATCAAATGAATATTTCTCATGGTTCCCCAAATCATTATCAGATATGTAGATATATCTCAGTTCCAATCAGTAAGTTGTACTGATGCATCTTTTCCAGTTTCATTGTATCAGCAAATTCTCCAGGGCACATATGTGTATTAAAGCATAGTTTAAGCTGCAAATGCAACAAGCATAGGCAGTGCCTGCCCGAGCATTGAACTATCTGCTCATGTTCAGCATGTTCAATTAACACGCTCATGCTACACAAAACACAGGAGCACAGGACAGAGCTTTCTGAACTACTGTCAGCTTTCAGTGTGACAGCCACAGAGAGTCATGCAGAACCACCTAGCAATGCTAGCCTAGCTCACAGGTCAGTCAGGTTTTTCCACAGTGGTGTTAAACCTGAATCTCAAAATTCTACCTCTTATCAGAGCTGTTAAGTTTGTGTGGATGTGTTTGAGTATCAACTAGATGAATTCCTGAGCAACCTGATCTAATTAAGTCTGCTTTGAGGTGTTCGAGTAGGTGACCTCTAGAGGTCCCTTCCAGCCTAAATTATTCTAAGAGTCAATTCTATTGCACCTATATTGCATCCGGTTCCAATATTAGTGTCAAACTTATACTATGCTCCACAAAAAACCACTAGGACTGCCCATAATTAAATTGAAAAAAAAAAAAAAGTTGTATGGGTGTATTATGGGATAGGGAGCTAGATGCCTAATCTGAGGGAACCAGTGCACTTTATATAGGGGTCTGTGCTGTTCCTGAGACAGCTACAGCAAAGCGGCATCGTGTACAAACTTCATCATATAAAAAAGCATGAGTATTTGACTCCAGTCAAATGCTCATTGCCAGAGTGGTGAAAGCAGCATGGTATTTCCAGATTTAGAACATACTAGATTCTCTTCATAATGCTTCATTGAATAAGACAATTGCGGTGAAAGGACAATTAATGATTATTTTCTCAAGTGCAGACCAGGTCTGTGGATGAAGTGTCAGCAAGGAGCAGTTCCTGACAAGCAAACAAGCTGACGGTGTTTGGAAACTCCCTTAGAGACACGAGTCCTTTGTTTCGGTTCTCACTGCACAACATGACAAAGAAGAAAAATTTAGGTGGAGCTGATGTAAACTAGGGAAAACATACCATGATCTTCCTTCAGTTTGTATCCTGGGAACACAGAGGAGAGGGTTGTAAAGACAATGAAGATCATTCTCCTTTTCCTCATTTTGCTGGGAGTAGTATCTGGTAAGAACATGATTTCATTATGCTGCTAAAATTAGAACACTGTTGGCTGTTATACTTTCTCTTGGGAGCTTTATAATACATATTTAGGGCTCAGACATGGATGGGAAAAATCAAGTAACAATTATTTTCCTACTGAAATAGATTGAGCTCTGTGGTTACATCAGTATAATGAAGAGGATATGCCTCTTTTCTAAGCTACTTTGTTGAATGAGACACTTCATATGTTATAGCCACTGCTAGTGTGACAGCACTGGAGTGGGAAAGAAGGTCAGCTCTCCAAGAAAAAATAAGTAGTTTTAATAGTCCAGTATCCTCCTTTAAAGTATTGATAACATTTCTCTTTGACAAAGTAAAACAAGCAACCTAATAAGACCAAACAGAAAAAAAGAACTTGTGGAGAATATTAGAAAGATAATATCACTATCCTTGTTCAGTGTAAATGCATGGAACATTTGCCAATACAAATATGTTCATGTTAGCAACTTAAGGTAGATCTTCCAACTGCAGCCTGTGTGGCTCATGGAGCAGTGATGTTGCTACCTGCTCACTTTGGTCTTGAGGAACTGAAAGAGTTCTGCCATCCCTCAGGAACCTGCCAGTGTTTATTTTCCTGATGTCCCCAAAGCTGTGATGCAGGCACTGCATGAAAATCTCAGCTTTCCTTTTTCTAACCTGTTGATTTTGGAGAGAGAAGGTGTGACTCAAGAACATTGTAAAGACTAACAAATCACAGATAAGTAAGGCTTATATATTCATAAATTTCTCAAAGCTAATCTCATTATTGCTTTTTTTTGGACTCAGCATTCGTCAGTGTTTGACATTGGTAATTATTATAAATAACATATTAAATTACTTCAGGCATATTTTGTTCTGCAAAGTAAAGAGGTAAGCAAGGACTTGTGAATACGGAAGGAGGGTTTTTGTAAAATCAGTTGAAAAAAGAAGAAGCCATTTAGATGCAGTACCAAAAAATTTCAGTTAAAAATAAGGACCAAGAAGTAAGAACTTGTAATTTAGAAAGACAGATCTGGAATAAGCAGCCAACAAAATCTTTAGAGACAATATAAAAATAGCAATTCCTTTCTACATCTCTAAATGTTGCAAATTATTTCATTGTTTTTATAAATGGTTTCCATTAATGAATTGCGGCTTAATGAGGGAACTGGATTAATCAGGTACTGTCCACAGGAGATTATATTCAAAGTTCAGCTCCACTTATGGAAATGTATTCCCAGAAGACTCTCTCAGCCCGGCCTTGTCTGCATGGGTTATTTTTTGTTGATGATGTTTTCCAGAATCTGTAAGACTAGTAATAAAAACTTAGTCCTTCACACATAAATCAGTAACAGCTCAGCTGAACTCGGTCCTATCGGAGTGTCAGCATGACCTGTTCAGATTAACTCTTACAGGCAGACTCTTACAGTCTTCCCACCTCAGTGTCTCCCACATCCCAGCCTGTACCTCACCCACCTGCAGAGTATTTCCAAGGACTTTTTTCCATAAATGCCAGAGTAGTCCCAGCCAGATCAGTGATCCATGGACCTGCTGTATCTGGAGTGTGGGAGCATGGGAATCCCCATGCAGCTGTGTAGGGGCTGCAGCTCTAATGGCCTCAAACTACTTCCCTTAGCAGCTTTTTACCTTGCAGCTCTGTAGCAAAAATAAAGACTTCCCGGAGCTTTTCCTACAGTAATTGCTGGTGTATGAACAACCTGTCTCAGCCCCTGAGTGAGCTGTATCTGCCTTCCTTTTGGCACCCAGTGTGTAGGAAGTTCAACTGAATGTAGCCAGCTTTCCTAGAGAGTGTTTTGGATGAGCCAGAGAAGCATCCCCAAGCAATAGTCAGCCGTACCATAGTCTCGTGTTGGGGCATGTTGCCAGTTCAAGGATGTGAAATTACTAAGATGTTGTTTCGGGACATACCTTAAAAGCTGTTGTGATTTATGTTTTCTGGACACCCTTTATGAAATAAATCACAACAGGCTTTGTCAAAAATAGCAAAAACTAGAAGCTAAATAACAGAGAAAGCAAAAGGTTTGGTTTCGGGACTCCGGAGATCTGACTGGCAAGCTGTTGGATGCCTCACCAGTGTGGGCTGCTTCAAGGCAGTTTTGAACCATAGGGAGCTTTTGTGGACCCACATCTCCTCCAAGGACTCCAGGTTGTTATTCCATGCCCAAAGCAGGAGGCACGACAGCACAACACCCAGAGTTGTTGCTAACTCACACTACTCACGAGCCAGGCATGCACAAAGCTGTCCTAAAAAGAATTAGAAGAGGGAAAATGAAGGAAACGGATGCTGCAGACAGCATAGTTTACAAAAAACGTTTCCTTAACATCCTGGTCTGTGTGATTCTAGGTGCTTTTTGATGTGACAGTGAACAGAGGCAGCAATTAGTACAGGGAGCAAAATGAAATGATAGAAACATCCTTGATTTCTTTGCTTCTATAGAAAGACATACATGAAGGCAAACAATGCAGTAACAATAATACTCCAACAACAGCCACTCTAGATGACAACACTATAGGACTGAATTAAAGTTTGATTCTTTTACATTAGCACTAGGTTTACCACCATGCATACCCCTGTTTATAAACAAAAAGGGAATTAGTCCATTTTGTGCTCAATAATGGCAGCTCTTGGCAAAAGCTGTGTACTCCTGATAGCCCAAGATTTCCAGAAGTAATTTTGCATTTATTTTCATCTTGCAGGAAGAAAAACCCCATTGCTTAAGGGTTTACCTGCAACAAGCACTGTTGAAGAAAACACAGCAGCTGGTGTTTCAGTCTGTGACTTCAATGTAACTGTTTCTCCATTGTCTTCTGAAGGTGTTGCAATTCTTCCTACCATAGTAAATTCAAATCCACTTACAGAGGCTTTTGATATTGAATCAAAAGGAGGTCTTGAATACAGGGTGAGTTTTACATTTAGCTTGAGCAGTGTTCAGTCATGGATGCTGGCGTTTCCTGGATTACTGAGCACTGAGAGTGCACTGTATCTCATCTTTTAATCAGAAATGAGTTGTAAATGCAGATGTGGTAGTATTTGAACATGCTGTGATAGATATGACCAGTGAATAGCAACAGTGAATATGATTTTTAATTGCATCTAGGCAAAAATCACTCATCACAATAATTCCATTAATTCTCTGATAGAAAAAACGTGATTTTTAGAAAATAAGAGGCGAAGAAGAACAAGTAGAACCCTGCTTCTGTTTTGAGGATTTGTCCATAGTTTTTCAACTTAATTTACATGAAATCACTGTGAATTTGAAGTGGCTTAGTTAAACCACATGCAGCTTCTCTTTGGCCACTCTCACCTAGAATTAATTAATTTGACTCACTTCCAAAATAAAGGAAGCTGAGTCAGATCAAAGTAATTTTTAGTTCTGAACGAAGACTGTGGCACATGAGGAAGTTATATTGAGGTAAGAAGTTATCAGCTTTCCACATATCTGTGATCTATTTCTATCCACTGTATGCTCTTTCCTGTGGCAAATGCAAAGCAACTTCCATTACTTCAGGCTAATTTTCATTGTTGGATAAATTAGCAAGTATTAGCTCCCATTTGTCACTGGCAATGAGTGTTCAGACACATGATAACTTGTCATCCCATTGTAACTTGCTTCTATGTCTGAGACTGAACAGTGACACTGAAGAGCATCTTTAAAAGATACAGATAGAAACTGAGAAGCATCTTAAAAATTTGAATACCCTTTTCTGGATATTTCCAACGAAGCAGAACTGCTACAAGGGCTCTTTTCTTGTTCTCTTTGCTGGTGTTTCTGGGAGAAAATTTGGGAAAAGTAAGACTGTTGCCCTGGGCAGTTGTGGCTCATTGATTTGACCTGCCTGAGGGGAGCTGCTGCAGCTCACATGCTCCCACACTCCGACCTCCCAGCAAAGTACAAAGCTCAGTTGTGCTAGCTCTGCTGGTTCTTTACTGCTCCCCAGCCAGGCCAGTGAAATGGTTAAAAAAACTTCCAGAAAAGCCCTCTTTCACCTGTGAAGCATAGGATGTGACTGGACAAACACCTGGACTGGGTCAGCTGAAGAGATCATAGAATCATATAGTCATAGAACATGCTGAGTTGGAAGAACTCAGGATCATTGAGTCCAACTCCTGGCCCTGTGCAGGACACCCCAAGAGTCACACCATGTGCCCGAGAGTATCATCCAGACGATCCTTGAATCTGTCAGGCTTGATGCTTTGACCACTTCCCAGGGGAGCTTGTTCCAGTGCTCAGCCACCCTCTGGGTGAAGAACTTTTTTCTAATATCCATCTAAACCTCCCCTGACACAGCTTCATGCTGTTTCCCAGAGTCCTGTGTGACAGTCAGAAGGAAACAGATATGTCCCTTAAGCTGGCTTTGCTGCCAGAAAATTCATAATGTGGGATTCCCTTCCTAGGCTGTATTTTGGCATTTTGAATTAAAATTATTCCTTCCACTGCAAAACATACTGCAAAACACTGCTTGCTTCTGTCCCATGCCATCTTTATGTTGTGAAGCATAAGAATTTATGTTGCTGCTTTTTGAGTGAGACTGAGAAATTAATCTGGAAGAAAAATAACTCTGCAAACAGATAAAAAGTTGCTTCTTGATTTTTTGTCATGGCAAGGATGATGGAGAAATTCTTGTTCTAGCAAGTTCAGAGTGACACAAGGAGCAAAATGAATGGCCAAAAATTTGTAGGCTGGAGTCTACTTCTTCCAAAGTGCCAGTTTATATTAATTTCCTACCACAGCCCCATTACCAGAATGTCCTGTGAACCTTTGTATGTTTTACTTAAACTGTAGCTGTTTTCAAGGTTTACTAACTCGCTTGGAGGAGTAGAACAAAGAGGTTGAGTCAGTGAATATCAGTCATGACAAAATCATAAAGCAAGCTACATACAAATTCTACAAATTAGCATATGAGTGTTAATTACAACTCATAAGGCAAGGATAAATACATGGGGGTTCTTAGTTCATTTATTTTATGAGCATCGCTGCTTTTAATTACTTATGCTATGTTGTAGAAGATTTGTTCAATATATTACAAAAGTGATGTCATCCTAAATGAAATATCTCAGCTCTACCTACTGCTATTAGATCTTTGCTAAGATATAGAAAAAGGCAGTGTTTCATGTATGAATTATGGGGTTTTCACATTCGCTAAGTACTTCCTAGGACAGGCTTTTATGTATTTATGAAGCACATTTACTCTGGTTGCTGCAAGACAAAGCAATATCACATTTCTTGATATGTTTTGAAATGTCTGAGAAAGTCACAGTTGCCCATTCCGCCTTGCCTTACTCTTAAGATTCCCAAGGCTGAGATGTGTTGAAGGCATGAAAACACACTTCTGTCTGAAACTACGTGGGTGCTGTTAGTGATATTCTCTGAATATCTTGTGGGTGAAGGGGGGGGCAGAGAGTCGTGAAATTCCAATGTGGAATGAGAGGTAGACAGTTATGTGGTGACTCTAGACCCCCTTTCACAAAGTCTGCACCTGCTTCAAGTATGTACAGTCTGGCCTTTTTCAGTAGCTGCTGGTCCTGCCTGGAATAAAGGTGAATAGTGGCTCTCAGCCTATGTCAGTGGCAAGCTCTTCTCAAAAGGGTTCAAAAGCAACCTAGAAAGAAACCATCTAGATTCACATCTTCACTTCCAAGGCCTCTATAAAGGAGAGTGTAAGATGTATATTTAGACACATTTAGTCTGGCTGTAGTTACAGCATTAATGAAAATATTTGGCTGTGAACTGGAGGGATAATACCCAGTGCACATTACTTCTGCTTAGAATAGGACAGTTTCTCATTTTGAATTCATTGCATCTGCTTACTGTATTTAGATCGCCAACTAACATTCATTTTGGAGACCAATCTTTCCACTGGTGTGACAAACTTTCGTGGTTTTTCTGAGGTAGCATCAAACTTCTATCTGTATAATATATGAGGAAAGGAAACCATCCAGGACACAGTTATTTTCTCCTGAAGTATTGTAACAAAAAGATCCACAAGGTTCCAGACAGCAGCTGTTTTACATACCAGAAGGCACGAAACACTTGTGCTTCTGTTCACTCTCCTTTTTGTTAATTGGCTCTATTTTGGCTTCTGTCTTCAAACCACACAAAAAGGACATCACTTTTGTATTTGAACTCTGGCCACAGTATCTAATCTAAACCCAAGGATTTGTTTCATTGTTCTCCTGCGTCCTCTCCAGCCTTCTTTATTCTACAGCATTGTGAATAGAGACACTCTCCTTGTCACATACACTTGCGAGACCCAAGTCTCCTCCTTCTCCAGTTCTACAGCACCCTGCTACTATGTTCAGGCTTCACAGCTCTTTAGCTACACAGTAAACTGAACAGTTGCCTTTTCCTTTCTTGTCCAAGAAAGGAAAGTTCTTGAGGTTTTATTGATTTCAACAGTGAAGTTTGAAACATAAAACTTTCAGCATCTGGCTGTTGCTCTGGACTCATCCAAAATCCAAAATGAATGCATTCAATGTTTTTTCATGAAGTGTCAGTCTTGTGTTTGTACGTATTCTGTGTTAAGAGGAAATATGCAGAGCTGGAAGCCTTAAAAAAACCCCCAAACACAGAGCAAATGTTTGCCTTATCAGTCTTGCAAAACTCCAGGCCTAGGTTACTTTTGAATTAGTTCAGCATTTTCACCAAACAGTTCTGGTCTCTCTCTCATGCACTGTACTTGTGCAGCTCTCTTCTTCCTGTGGTTTCCTGCAAATTTTCTCCCAGAAACAGGTTACATGAGGAAGGGGCAAAATGTAGTCCTGACCTTGAAGGAAAAGCATTGCCTGTGAGGCAGGACAGCTCCTTCCAAGCTTTCTCCTCCTCAAACTGGTCCTCACACTAAAGATCCTTGAGTTGCTCCATGAAGCCACAACAATTTGGTCTCTCTCTCCACTCTGTTTTTGTCACATTTTTGCCACTGACAAGAAATGTGCCAGCAAGTAGACGGTGATCTGAAATATTGTTTACTGAAAGTGTCCCTTTACTTTATTCACTCATCTAGACCATAACTTATTCACTTATCTAGACTATAACTTATATCTCTTGCATCATGTGCTAATGATAATCTTTTATTTTCAGGTTGTTACCACTGGAAACCCTGTCCTAGATTATGAAACAATGCCAAAGAGCTTTGATTTACACATTTTTGTTGAAGATACAGCTGGAAGAACTGACCTTAGCATATTGACTATTCGAGTAACAGATAAAAATGAACATCCTGTATTTAGAGGAAATATGGCAATTCAAAGTAAGATAATGGTAGTATTTGAAAAGAACAATATTTGAAAATATGACATCAGCTTAAAAAAAGCTATAGCTGCATATGGTGCCCATACCTAAAGTAGTCTAAGAATTTTCCTTTACAAAAACGAGGGAGCAACAGGACATGGTGTTTATCACAGCTTTATTTAACACAAGTATTTGGTGTTCTTCATCACTGGAAATGCCCTTTTATTTTTCTTGAAGCTTTGACCAAAAATTATTTAACCATTTTGAAGCACCTGAAAAATTAAAAGAAATAAGGATTTATACCAATAAATATATATGTTCTTTTTTGATTAGATGAATACCTACCTAGAAATATATATTAGAGACTTGAAGTTTGGTGGGGATATAACCACTGTGTATGGGTACATATTTCAGTAGTTTGTTGAAGTGTGTATTATATGTACAAGAATTTCTGAAGGAAAATGATAAAAAAATTGCTTTGCAGATGTTTTACATCTGTATGTTCCATTTGCATCTGCACATGAAAAATGAAGTGGAAAATCAGTTTGAAGAGTGAGACCTCAATGATTGTGATCTATGGTGCTGCAAATGGAAAGAGATAGAGAGTTCTGTCTCCTGTGTGAGGCAGATGATGTTAACCACGTTTACTTTAGACCATAGGCAAAGATGCAATGGGGGGGAATGTGTAGTACCCTTAGGAATGAGGCTGGAGAGTCTGGATCCAGCTGTGGCCAGTGCAGGCTGTGTATGCCATGGTATCTAATGTAAGTGGCAACTCCCTCAAATGGATAGGAAATAATTGTCTTACTCTCTTAAGTAAGAGATAAGCGACCTTATCTTTCTCATTTACTAATGAGAGGGACCTGGAAAAACTGTACCAGGAAGCAGCAGAATATGGTGATGTATTTGTCGTGTGTTCACATGCAGACAGAACAGTTCAGATTATTTCATGATGTACTGAAAGCCTGTTTGAAGACTTGGTATTCTAACATCACTGTATGGCAGAGCACACTTCAGTATTCAGTTTTTAAAAGTCTGAAAATGCTAAACTGTGATCCCTTCGTGGTAGCTGTTCAAAGCTGGCTGCTGACTCCCTAGATCTGGACTGGCAGCAGTATAATGTGGGCTACAACTTGCCAGTTCTGACCAGCCTGCTCAGATTCAGCTGCTTCACTGATGCCTCCTAAGCACTTTGACATTCCTGATTCCATACAATACTTAGTTTGTAAAGCAAATTAGCTTCCCCTAGGGAAGAGGTTGTGTCATCTTCTCAGTATAGCTGGTGTCTTGCATATCATAGGTGCTGCTGGAATCTAATAATAATTAAATGTGACACTTCAGGGGATCAACACAGCATGAAACACACTACGTGGGAGCTTGTTACAAATAAGTGCATCAGTTTAACTCTCAGCTAGAGCTGCCATAAATTGGTGAGCACAGATGTCTGATCTGTCTGACTGTGTGGCTTTAGTTAACAGTACCAGCTACAATTAGACACTAATTGCGCATTCACTGTTTATGAAAAAGTATCTCCATCTCATTAAACTTTATATTCATATTGTTGTCCTCTGGGAACAACTCATTATGCTGCTCTGGATTTCCCACTGCTCTGATGAGAAGCAGCAATCAGTAGGGGTCACAGTGGAAATTAATAGTCCAGAAAGAGCAGGTCCAGCAGACACGAAAGGGCATAAAGCAAATAAAGTGATCTAAAGATCTGTTGTCCTGTTAATTGCTCTACCCAAGGAGAGATAAGCTTCTTGCCAGTGGTTCAGTATGGGGTAGCCCAGCTGTGAGAATCCCTGCTACGTAAAGAAATACACCTTGCACTGAGTTAGGAACCTTAGTAAAGCAAACATTTAAATCGGTGCAGACCACCCACTATTTACCTCACAGATATAAAGGAAAAACAGAAATGAAGAGGAAACACTCTGAGCTCCCCTGGCAGGGCACAGGACGTGAACAGGAAGGGGATGTTGATGAGGACCTAGCGCAGAACTGTGTTCTCCCCATCTGAATAGTAAAGAAAGACACAGATGTAGTCCAAATGCATAGTTTTACTCCGTAAACTGTGAACAGCTCAAGATAGGCCATATGGAAAGATCAGTCTTTTCCCTGGAGGCACAATTCATGTTGCAGTTCGCAGTGATGGTTACCTGTTTACAGATGTGTAATTGGTTTCTTTTTATCTTTTGAGTATTTGTGATCTTTGTGATGATTTTGGAATTACACTTGTGAAGTGAGAACATGCAGCAAGCAGTAATACCTCCACACAGCTTCAGTGCATCAGTTTGTTTGCTGCTGGGTACTTTATTCTTACCCAACTAACACTGAGTACACTTATATCCATGCAGCTCTAATGATCTATGTGTTGGAAGGAACACGTCCAGAATGCATTTACCAAGTTGATGCAGCTGATCCTGAAAATGCGAAACTCAAAGTAAGTTGTATTAAAGAAAAAAGGCCAAACAGAGGTTATATAATCCACTGTATCTGAATAGCTAATTACCAATATCTTTCAACAACTTCCTTCCTTATCAGGAACGCAGGAAAAGGTTTAGTCAGGAAAAAAGAAGCATTTTCAATACTAAAGTTAGAAAACCCAGCCTTAATATTTGGCACAAGTTGTATTTGAGTTCTTAACCTTCCAAAACTAGGTGATACTGAAGGCAGAGTTTGACACTGTTAACCAGAGAGGCAGTAGAAATTGTGACTCTTTAAAAAAAAAAGGCTTGCAAAACATTTCTTGTAGATGAGAGTGACTAAAAGTAAATAAGTTTTTTAACCTTCTGTATCAAAATGTAAATTCTTTTAAATGAGACTGTAAGGAAATCACTTACCAGGCAACTGAATCTCAGGTTTTTGACAATGCCAGGGCAAACTGTGACCTTCAGTTACAAAAATGTGTTAGCTGATCTGAAAATACTCTCAGTATCAGAAAAAAATCTGGAAAGTGCTAAGTTTGTTTGCAGACAGGGAAAAAGTAACTGCACTTACCTAAGAATTGTGTTGTATCTTTGGTCTATTGGCTTTGGCTTACAAAGCCAATAAGTACAGCACATTCAAGAACTGAACCCAAAGATGCTACTTCAATGTGTAGCATTATTCAAGAAAGCAATTGGCTTGAAGTCCATCCTCAGGCTTTGCCTAGTCAAAGCTCCAAACCCAAGCTGGTGAGAAGAGAAGCAGAGCTGTGGGAGTTTAGCTCTGCTTTGTGTCTAAAAGCAATGGCAGTAAGTTCCACAAGCTGACACATCTCAGGCTTAAGAAGGTGCAAATAGAGAAATGCTGTTACCTCCTCGGACAGATCTGCTCAGTGGATTTTGCAGGGTACTTGCATGGTGCATGACTCTCTGTTGTTGCATACTTCAGATTGTATGGGTATTATTAACACCTGCACTAGTAAAGGAAATGTCCTCGAGGGCTACTAGTGCTGGCTTGGCATGTGAAGGTAGCGGGCAGGATGTGATGGGAGTGCCCACCACATAGCCACAGGGAGTAGGGTACTGCCCTTCTCCCTACTGTGTACAGTGTTGGGGTGTTCTGCTCCCTCCCACACCCATTGGTGTTGTGCAATGCACTAAGTGGCTGCTGTTATGTCCCACCTCTGTTAGCACTGGACTGTTGTGAACACCCTCCAGCCTCACCCCCATATGTACTCTGTGAAAGGCCACTCTCCTCTCCTTGCCTTCTCCCATCATCTGGATCCCCAAACGTCATTGCCACCTCCATAGCATCTATGTCCCACAAACCCAGCCTTGCCCCTTCTCTCTGTCCTTCTTTGTGCATGCACTCTGCTGCCACCACAAAGCTGATTATCTCCTGCGGTGCTGTGGCCTGGATGGCTGCCCTCTCTGTGAAATTCTAATTGCAGACTTGGAGTTCCCAGAGGTAGAGAACAGTGTGACCTTTGATGTAGTTTGGTGTCTGTGACTCTTCACTGGCTGTAAGCAAACCACTCACAACCAAGTTCGAGCTGTTCAGGTGTGATGATCAGGGCCTGTGCAATCTGTGTGTCAGAATTTCATTGTGCAGTTTGAGGCAAATGCTGTACTGTAACTTGGCCTGTTCTACAAGGCGAGGAATGAATGGAGGGATGTTTAAATACACAAAGACTAATTCCTTACTCTCTTCATTTCAGTATTCACTGCTCCCTACGACAGTGCCGTTCTTGATCATGGAAAGTGGAGCCATTTTCTCCACAAAAGAATTTGATTATGAGAAAGATCCACATTGGTGAGAATGTATTTTATTCACCATGCACCTATTAGCTTACAGTAGTCAGAGAAATGTTTTCCTGCGTAGCCACAGAACAATTCTTGTTTTCTTTTCTTATTTTACAGTTACTTTTTAAATGTAACAGTGACAGATCTGGATGGACTCAACTCAACTAGAACAGTAAATATAAATATAATTAACATCAATGATGAAAGTCCTTACTTTACCACGTGAGTGAAAATTTTCCATTGCACTCAAAATGTAGATGTTTTCCCAGGTTTACTGTTTTGGCATCAATGAGACCATGTAACATAAGGGCAAATAAATATAACAACAAAATATAACTGAAAAAAGTATTTTAATTTAGTTATGATTCCTGTTCTTACACTGGAAGGTTTTGTCCTAATTTCCCTCTTTTATTCTTATATATATTCTTAGTAGTATAGAGTTTTCCAGGCTCTGCCTTCATGCTAAGAAAAGTCAAACAAGCTTGTTGTACTTTTTAGCATTTAGAGAGATTATAGGTATGCAAAGACCTTTGGACAAGTTCAGACAAGGAGATTAGTTTCAACCTGTGTGGATACAATCATCTAGAATTTACCTTTTATGCAGGTGTGCATTTCACCATAATGATGTTTATTCATGCAGAAATGTCTAGACATAAAAAAGGTCTCCCTTTTGATCTGTCTTCCTCTTCTTCCCAGACACACTTGTAAACAATCCCAGTGATTTTTTGAAACATTGTTGTCTCTTACTGTGTCATAAGCAGGAAATTGTGTCATAACACACAAGTCAGAAATAGCTTTGAAGACTAATGGAGTTTTAGTTGGCATCAGGAATATTGTTGAAAATTCGGAAAAATGGGAAAGAAAATGCATTTGCCGCAAGCAGGCTATTTTGTGGTGGAAAGCATGATGGACGGTTGTTTCTGAAGCAGGATTTTGACAATTATTGCAGTCCATCTGACTCTGTTGTTGATTAATCTTTGTCACTTGCATGAGACACTAATGGGATTCAAGACACTCTCTTTATGTCTCCTGATTCTGAGACTCTACAAGGCCCTGCTAAGAATATTTATAATGGCTGCTCTCCTGCCTCTGTGCAAAGGTTAAGACAGGATAGCACCTGGGGCCATGCCAAGAGGTTCCAGCCACTTGTTTGGAACAATCTTCTGGGTGTTTTGTGAAGCCAGAACAATGCATGGCACCTGTGCCGAAGTCAAGGATCTGGATCATGATGGGTAGAGGGCTGGAGAATCTGAAGGAACAGAAGAATTAAATGTTAGAAAAAGGAATGGATTTTTGTTGTTGTTGCTACTACTTATTTGATACTTGAACCTCATGTCTGCAGTACACAATAATCTTAATAGCCTGGCCCACCTTACTGCACTTCTGCAAGAAGGAGGAATCCTCTTCTCAGTGCCAACGTCTGCACATTGTGTTCTAGACTGATTATTCGCTCCAAATGTTGCCATTTCTGTGTATTTATCCTTATTTCTGGAATGCTAAAGGAGCTCTTTTAAATATTTGTCTACTTGTTTGAATGAGTGAAAGCTGCAGTGACTTGAGCATCTGTAACACCCAAGTTCTAAGACTCAGTTCTCGTATGGCATGAATACAGTCTGGTATTTGTTTGAATCATCTCCGTTTTAGATTGACACTACAGACCAAAAAGTGCAGCTCAATTTGTAAAGCACTTTAGATTAAACTACACTTCATGATCTGTCCTTAGTATGCACACATATGGTGTCTCCTGTGCTAAAATGTGAGCAGCATGCTGAGGCCATGTACTTTCTGATACTGTAATAATTAGTGCTGGGATGGGAGCTGGGGAAACTTCATGAGTTAGCAAACCTCCTTTATTTACCCCGATCAAAGCTGTCAAGAACAGAGTTTCAAAAGGTCTTTTTAATTGTTCCCACAGTATATGCAAGCACATCTGGTTTTGGTGTTCACAGCACTCCGTTGGCATTCAGCCTTTTGAAATTCTGGCTGCTAAAATCCATGGAAAACTTGTGGAGTCGGGAAAACAAAGGAGAAGACAAGAAAACAAACATATGCTCCCTTTGCAATTACATTGCAGTGTCTGAAAGGTCTGCTTGAACCATCCTGTAAAAAACCACTGTCAGGTGGCAGACAGATGGACTACAGGACACATCCCAGATACAGCTGTGTAGGAAGTGGCCCCCACTCCTTCCCGGTTGTACTGGTACTTGGTGCTGTGGGGGTGTGCTCAATAATGTCCCACTTCTTCCTGAAAGATCTAGTGGGGACCAGCACAGGGTGCAGGAAGGTTGGTAGGGAAAGTGGAGCTGTGGTGACTTTGCTGTTCACAGAGAGTCTAGAGTTGTGGTTCCAGTGGGCCTAGGGAGTTCCTACTTTGAACCAAAACCAGTTAGAGCTGTGCCTCTTATATCCTTCAGGCATTTTGGGGTGGCATTTTTGGTACAAGTGAAGGACATCTGTTACTGTTTTTTTCTGAGTGACTCTGGAAGCAACAGGAGAACAAGGAAGGAAGACATCCAGTGCCAAGACTGAGATAGAAGCTTCATAAACACACTGATACCACAGCCTTCATAAACTCCTTGTTTACTTCTGGCTGTAAGTTAGGTGTTTTTACCAGGAAAACCCTATGTGATTTCTCTCTTGTATGGTTGCCTCTTTTCATATGATCTGGCAGAACAGCTGAAGATAATGTGTCTTCGTAACCATTTTAAAATTGCAAGTGAAGACCTGGAGATGTGGGATCTTCTGTTCTGTAATTCTCTGCTCCAATTGCTAAGTGCCACATGATGTGTATTTTCAGAGAATAGTTAAGTGGTGGCATAGAAAGTTTAAAATGTGCAAAAGGGATTTAGTATTGAAACACACTACTAATGCTTTGCTGAACTCTTGAGTTCAACTCCCTTTGAGTTCTAGAAGCAGGAGATGCCTGTGTGTTTGCGTGTGTTTCAGTAGTATAAATCAGCCTTCAGAAATTCCTTGCACAATGTTTTTGTCCTGGCCCATGCCTCTTTTTGCCTGTGGTTCAAGATGCCTACCTGAGTACCCATGTGAACATGCAACTGCAACCACTGTAAGCAATCCTACACGTACCTGCCAGATATATCTGAGCTATAAAACTCAATTAATGGAAAATTTGGGAGCACTGGCATACCAAACAGCAGCAGTAAAAAAACATTTTCTCTATGTAAAATGCATCAGACAGACAGATGTTGTTGGGAGTTTGAGGCACATTCATCTGTCGAGCACCCAAAGGAGTTCTCCTCCCTGACTCTGCCTACTGCAGGGACAACTCAGCTTTTCTGTAATACTGTTGTCCCCCAGAAACCTCCAGCATTTATTCCAAAAGATGATTAACTACATTAAACTTACTCTATTTTTGTTTTTCTCTTGCAAAATGAAGGAATTAAAGCAAGTGGCTTTACGAGCTGGTGGGTCTGTAGGGAGATGGACAGCATGACTTAGCGGCCCCTCCCATCTTCAGCTTCCATGATTCTGTGAAAGTCAAACTGTTTTTACTGTGGAAAAGTTGCAGAGGAAGAGTACTTATTTGTGTGGCTGTGCCATGCTTTACAAACACAGGAACACATGCCAGTTCAGCTACTGCTATATGTCCAGCTGGCAGACATTTACCCTGACATGAAAATACCATCTCTGAGCCCCGTATGGCCATGGCTCTGCTCCTACAATTGGCTGCTCAGAGAAGTCTGTAATCAGTCACCCTTGTAAACACAATGTGTGCTTTGCTGAATTTTGTTTTATCTTGTAGAAAACAAAGAATCTATAGAATTCCAGAGGAACAAAGCCCAGGTACCATTGTTGCCAACATAACAGCTAAAGATCCAGATGATGAAGGCTCTCCCAGCAGACTTTTCTACAGCATCCAGTCTTCTGACAGATATTTCTCCATAAATCCATGTAAGACAAGCAAAAATGTGCCTTCTGATGTCCAAAAAAAAAAGAGAGTGGCTACTTTGGAGAAAATGTTTTTGCCTTGGTTTTAAATTGACTTACTTTATTTGGAGGCTTCCCATATCAATAATGAATGCTCAGTCCCTTATTAGGGTCAAAGTCTTTGGTCACCTGACCAAGATTCAGTGACATATCTTGAAGAAAGTAGACCAAAGGTGACTTCTTGACAAATATTGACTTGTGGCTGCAGGGTGATGGTCCCTTGGGTGGAAGTCAGATTAGATGACTTCTTTTTAATCTCTGAGAGCTGCAGTGACCCTTCTGGGGCTCTTGAAACAGCTGCACATAGTTGTACCATAATGTCCTCTCTCCTGTCTGAAATCCTCTCCAGCACTGAGGTGCACAGCAAATCTACACCTCAGGTTCATTGCTCCATTCATGACCCTCCTCAGGTAAGGCCATCCAAAAGAATCCTCTCTCTTACAGTGGTCCTACCTCCTTCACGCTCTCTGGGGTCCATATATCTGTTCCCCAGAGGTTTTTGCTCCAGGGCTGGAATTCATGGACTGCTTTGCTCCTTGTCTGCTATTGCTTTAGAACTGCTTATCACAGTTGTAAGAGGTGCCACACAACACAGTGCTGTGGGGGATCAGGGAGATCCTTAAATGCTTTGGATTCCCTATGCCCTTTGGCCGTATATTGTCACCCTCCCCCTCAATTACACTCCAAAAGGCAGAAGATATATACGCTGTTCTTTTACCTTTGTGCTCTGGGAATAGTACTGCTGTGCCATAAAAACATTCTATTTTTGAACAGAGGCTAACAGAAGTGAAAAAAATATTAAGTGAATGGCTGACCAGAGCACTTGACACAGTCTGTCACAGCTAAGAGCAGCTCTGTTGATGTGTGAGTAGATTTGGAGGTGCTGAAGGATGCTTGAATGATAACAGTAGAAAGTGAAGCAGTCTTACTTGCTAGAGAGCAAGGACAGCACAGGCATTAGCAGCTCATTCTCCTCCATGCTCTGTGAATTCACTCAACTCTGACTTGCAATAACAACTTGAGAGTAAGGGAAGCCTAACTGCTTTACAAATGCTCTGCTGAGGCCTCCCAGGGCCTCTATTTGAGCAGTGGGTATGTAGCCATTATGGATGTTCAGAACAGAATGTTCAGAACAGTTTTGTATCACTAAAAAACCCTAAACCAGACATGATTTGTACAGAATAGAAGACCTTTTGTTCTGCTACCTGTCTGCTGAGCTACCCTATCCTCTTGCATGTACACCATGACCATTTGTTATTTCCCCCCATGGTGAATGTCCAACTTCTGTCTGCTTTCTGCCCAGCGACCGGAGTGCTGCAGGTGACCAGAAGAATCGACCGTGATGCCCTTCCACTGCAGCTCCATCCCAACATCTCACTGATAGTCCAGGTGGAGGACAGTCCCAGCAATGGTCATACCAGTAAAATGGAGATCACAATCATTATTGATGATATCAATGACAACCCGCCAGAATGCAGTCCTTCTGCCTTCAGGTATTGAGAGTCTTACTGCCTTGGTGCTGCCTTTCTGCCCCAGACCAGTGTGCAGTCCAGGGCACATCAGTTGGGCTCCCCAGATCTACAGCTAGAAGTTCCAAGGGACATTAATCATTAGCCTGCCCATTGTACAGGGCTGTTGTCCGTCACAACATATGGATCAGATTCCGGGTTGCTTCATCTATTGTTGTATTTAGATCTAGGATTTCACTTAGAAAATAAAGCAATGTTTTGGCAAATAGTATATGAAGAGTTCAAAAGAAGAAATGTAAGTTGCTCTGATGGGAAACATGTTTGCTTTAAACAGGAAAGAAGTAAATGAAAATACGGCTCCTGGGACATTTGTCGTTGATCTTAGAAATTACTGTAAAGATATTGATGTTGATCCATCAAACAATCAATTTAATTTCACTGGATTATCTGGTTTTGGAAGCAATAACTTCATTCTGGATTCCACTGTGTCTGGAAGACTTGTGGTCAGTCATTTTTGGCTTTATATTGGATTATCCTGTTTCAGAAGGCAACTTATGAAATATTATAAGGGTTTTTTTAATTCGTAGTCTGCACAAGAAAAAAAATAATTACTGTAATCCATTTCACAGTTGGTACAATATGGAGAATGACTGTTTCGACTGGATGTGAATTACATACCCTTTGATTGGGTGCTTTCTAAAGATTCTACAGAATTTAGTGAACAGAGACTGTTTTCTCCAGTTTTAAATAAATGTGATAGATATGATTAAAAAAAATACCCTTTTTTAGGAAGTGTGAAGCACCAATTTTGACATGGATAAACAGAAATCTGATGCCATTTCATACCCATTTACTCATGACAGACTGTAGAAGAACCTTGCTATTCAGCATGAAGAATTTAAATACTTTAGAAATCCCACACTCAGTGATGACTTCCCAGCTTCATTGGTCAGAATTATAAAACCACTCTGAGTGGCAAATTTTCCCAAAAGTGTGGTGGGTTTTGCACTTGTGTGATTTTGTATGTCAAAATATGTGTTCCTTATGCTGATAGCTGCTGGCAAACTCACATTGGCCAGAAACTCCACTAGTTCCTGGACATGTGCAATAGTGGTTGTTTTATTGCTTCAAAAAAGAACCATGGGCAACTACAGAAAAAGGGAAGCAAGAAAAAACAGGCATTCTGTCTAAAAGACAAGAGTGCTACAGGAGCAGTAAAATGATTTTGTATGGCTTACTTTAATTTTGGATCTGAGATATTCTTACCAATAAGTACTGCCCTTAGTTGCTTTACCTACCAAAATAGAAAGCATTTTCCTTGCTGCACAGGATATGATTGTTGTCAGCCCTTTGATCATTGTGCATGTGTAATGTAACAGGCTATCTGAAGTGACCTGTTCCTCCAGGAGTTTCCCTGTAGACTATGATGAACAGTGGATGCCTGTGTGTGTTAGTCCTACTGCCCCAAAGTTTATGAGGCTCCTATAGCAAGATAGAGAGTTCAGGAGATTAGGATTTAAATCCTTGTGAGCCACCACTTAGTAACAACTTGGTGCCTGGATAAACATTTGTGGCTGGACCTGATACCTTTAGTAAATGTCTGCAGGCATGAGCTCAAGGAGTAACTACTGTTGTTTAGCAATCACAGATTCTTGTTGAGCCAACAAAGGGCAGAGTAAATAACCAGCTCATTACACGTGCTTTGAATTGATTAGGTAAAAGGTTAAGACCTTATGATACAAATGATAAAACTTCCTGCACTTATGGGAAAGAAATTTTGTTGGCAGAAGAGAAGAGTTTTGAATTTCCAAGAGATAACAGAGCATGAATGTGTAGAAAAAAGCCTGGAATTCAATCCTGCAATTGATTAATAGCCTGTATTATTCCTGTAGAACAATTCTATATGTCCAAGGGGGAGACCATACTTACAGAATGCTGAAAAAAGTAATTGCCATCCTGTGTACTGTGACTTCCCACAAGGAAGCATAAATACAATTGTGTTTCTTTTGAATTTAGATGACTGGAACTATTGATTTAGAGAGCCCAGCTAATCCAGGAATTGAAGTTTATACTTTGACTGTCAGGGTGCAAGATATTGCCCATCCTAACTACTCAAGCAAGTATCCCTTTTAAATTGTTTTTGATAGTTTTCTGTGCTGCAACAGCATGGAGAGAGGGATACCATACGTATTTTGAATATATGCATGAGAAAATTTCACAGCCATACTTAACTCTGATTTAATCTTGTTATATTTCCAGATATCATCTACATTTACATCAGGATAAAGCCAGTGAATGAATTTTTTCCAGTCTTCAGTACTTTATCTTACGTATTTAATGTTTCAGAAATTACTAAAGGTACGGTAACACCTACATTATGGAAATAATGTTGTCATGTTGGTAAGTACCTCTTAGCTCTACATGAATTTTCATATATTTAAATGAGGTGAATGGTTCAAAGTTCCAGTTCAACCAGGGTCTCACCATACAACCACCTACTACCCTTGAATAGACTAAACTGGTGAAAACTCCAATTGTACAGATGGAAACTGAGACACAGACAAATTCAGCAATTGCACAAGAAATCTGTCACAGTGCCAGGAAATGAACTCAGATGTCATTCTGCTCTTGCTAAATTAGCCCTTTGGATGGAGTGTGATGGTGCAAAGAAACCATTACAGACTGACACAGACAAGGGAGGACTCCCCTGGCCTAGCCACGGTGCACTTCTGCTGTGGGTCTCTAAGACTCTTTGTGTTTTGGTATTTACTGCTGGCAGGCGAGCCCATGCACAGGGGAGCCATAGCACAGCATAGTGAACTAGTGCTTCTCACACCATTGCTTTAATTTTTTTGAGTGAAAAACTCTAAGCCAAATCTTCAGTTTCATCAAGTTTTTGTAGGACCAAGTAGTCTGTACCTCCTGTTCCTTAAAATGTTAATGAAATATGGATTTTCTGTCTCTCAGTTGGATCCAGCATTGGAAGAGTGCATGCCACAGACGAGGACTGGCCACCCACTGTCATCACTTATTCCATTGTAGCTGGAGGAGGCACCAGGGATTACACAAATATCTTCTGGATCAGCACAACCAAAGGAGATGTGAGGATTTTAGCTAGATTAGACTATGAAACAACTCAGAAACACATTTTCATAGTACAGGCCTCAGACCAAGAAAAGTTTACAACAGCATCAGTGAGTAAATCCACTCTACTTCTTCCACTTTACCTAGGTTTTTCTCTTTTCTTCCTGGCAAGAACAGTAAGACATTGGGCAAAGCACTTTGGTCTGTGAAGGGCAAGTTGAACCCTGCACAGACTCGTATATTACTCAGATGAAAAAGGTTCATTCGGTTCACTCGGTATTGGTTTATTTCTTACAAAAACAATTAAAGTAATATCTTAATGTTTTTAACTCTGTTTCTCAGTCTTTTTTTCTTATTTTACCTGAGTAGTGAAATTATTTTCTGTGCCTTAAACAGTTTAAGTTTTTCTGTATGGCTATATATGTACCAGAAAATAGAAAAATAACAAGGTCTTGAGGCCAGGTAGCACAGCATAATAGTAGCCATGCCTAGTGACAAGTCCTTTTTGGAACCTGTGTAGTGTCCCTTGGCCCTCAAACATAATTTAGATTTTATCTGTCATGTTTTTTTGCTGCAAGGCATCCAAAGTAATGTGGGAATTGTGTTGCAGCCCATCAGAGTTGTGTTTTCATGGGTAGCACAGAGAGGATGTTCTAAATACCTTGGGAATGGGAGCAGGGCTTGGGCAGCCTCTTGGGTTAATGTCAGAGGGCCCAGCCCAGCACAGCTGTGTCCACATGGCCTATTGGAGTTGAACCCTTACACATGCCTTCCCCTGACTGTGATCTATTTTTTTCCCTGATGGTGTTATCTGCCAGGATCCAAGTCCATACCAGGCACCAGTGACAACATTTAACAGCAGGGCTGTGCTCAAATTTGTTGCCCAGACTTATTTTATTCAGAAATAAAAATATAGGTGGTATGCCCACAAAGGTCACTTTATAGTCAGTTCCTTCAAAGCATCCCAGTGTCCTTCACAGGCAGACTCCTTGTTACTTCTTTTCACATTTTCTCCCTCATGACTGCTTCACATTTGATTTTTGCACATCTCTTGGAGATGACACAAGTACTAAACTTGCTTTTCATTCCAGCCAAGCACCACTCATAGAGATGCTAGGTGGGAGGTACTTACTCTCTTTATTATCTATAATATTTTTAAGTGATGATTAATGAAAATTCAGCATCAGAAGATTTTAAGTATGAAAAGTTTATCTATTGCCTGACTAGGAAAGAACTTTGGGAAGGGTAGCCTTTTTCTCTCAGCCAGATAATCCCAGATGACATTAAACGCATCTGGTGCTACTTGGGGTGCTCCCAGCCATGCAGAAGGCCATTACCAGCATTTCTCTCTCACTGGGAACAGTCTATAAGCATTGTTTCTTCCATGGATCATGCCATGAATTATTATTAAATATGCTAGGAAGCCTAACTGATGACTGTGAAGCAATTCAAGAGGTTTGAAATGGAGTTTAATGAATATGTCATTCTAACTATGACACAGTTCAGGTTATTCAAATGATCAGAAAGCTTGAAAATCCCAGTTTTGGAAGATGGTTCAGGTCAAGGAACCTGTTCCCAGAAGAGAATTGATCACAAGAAGAATTAAAGCACAAATGACGATAGGCATTTCTGGCAGGAACTGGATTGGAAGGGGGTTCAGTGCTCTTCAACTGCTGTTGATCAAAAGAATAAAATGGGCAAAGCCAAACAGTTTCCAAAGTTAATAAAATTCTGACTCAGCACAGTGGAGCAGCTCCAGCTTGCTATTGCTCTTTTCTTTCAGGTAACTGTGAATGTTTTGGAAGTAAATGATGAAGAACCAGTTTGTTCACCTAATTTCTATTCATTTCAAATCCCAGTCAGCTTAGCTGTTGGGACCAATATTAACGGCTTCAGGATTGAATGTCAAGATCGTGATTCTGATCCCAGGTCTTTCCGTTACTTCATTAATGAAGGTACTGTGTCAGAGTGTGCTAGCTGGGAACGGTGAAAAAATTAGCGAATGCTGATGGTTCATTTAGATTGTAAATAAAAATCTAACACATTTTATGTGCTGTTTGTCAAGGTGAGCCGGTTGTGATCCACAAGTTCTGCACACCATTATTTTGCTGCTTACCAAAAGAGATGTCTCTCCACAAGCTGGCTACTGGTGCTAGCACCTAGAACAATTCCCTTGCAAGACTGCATTGCTTACCACATGAATTAATTGGCAATTAATTACACAGTTGACACACACTTTGGAAGAATGAGCTGGAATGATATGCAGTGTCAAATTTCCATTCCAATCACAGCTGAGCAAATTGTGAGAAATGATGGAGAGTTCTGTAACTCTGTTATCTCACATCTAGATGCTGGTATACAGTTGAAAACAACCATTCAAACCTACATGTTCTAGGTCCATGCTGTATTCATTAAATCCCCATTTTAACAACCCTTGTTTGAACCTACAGCAACATCCACTTGGAGAACTACAGTGGTGTGGGATGACACTCGGCTTCACAAAAGAGGGAACACACTCTCTTGGGGCAATTCCTTTTGTATTGCTAAGGTGACTGCTGTGAAGGAGAGAGCAGATTGTCCAGGTGCTGTGAGCACCAAAAGTGAGATTCTCTGTCCTACTGCAGCCCCTTGGTGCCAGAGAGGGAGCTCTGCAGCAGTGGTACTAACACATGAACCTATACAATGTCTGTGTTTGTGTTAGTCAATACAGGTCTGCCCACAGGTCCACTTCTGGTGGTACAGATGTGAGCTGTGCCATGTACTTGCCCTCTGAGCCACACAGCAGCCCATGGTTCATTTTGTGGTGTACAATAGACATAGCCTTCAAGGTCATGTCAACTCTAGAGCTTTATGGGGCAACGAGAACCAAACTAAAGCACATTTGGTGCATTTTCATGACTCTGATCTCCTGTATGTGCCTGCCCAGAGCCTAAGAGCTGGGGTTGTCCTACCTGCAGCCCAACCCATGAGCAGTTGTTCAGCTACACAGACAGAAAGCAGTGGGTGGGGAGCCAGCACCTCTGAGCTCTCCTCCCTGTCCCATGGTGCTGACAAAGCCCTGGAGGCAATTAATGTCCCTGAGTCTTTAGCTGTCTTCTGGGGGACCTTTTCAAAGGCTGTTGCTTCTTGGCAGAGAGAGAAGCCACGGACAGGGGCTGGAGTAACCCTCCAGGGACAACCCAGTAGTAGAATGAGTTACAGTGTAGGGTTTTCGCCGCAGCTGGGTGTTGTTGGGTGCTCCCCAGGCTATAAGGACAGGTGACTCTGGTGACCTCTCATGTGCCCTATGGCTCTGAAGTGTTTCCACAGCCTCCTCTTAGCTGTTTCCCCATAGAGGATCTTGTTCTATATTGTAATGCCTTTATGACTGTATTGTTTTAAATTTTTTTATATGGTAACAGAAAGATCCAGGAGCCATTCTTGCAACTGACATTTCACCACACCTCATCGCTTGTTCCACACATTTACTTTACTGTGGGATTAATTTTTTGGCATGTTGGTGTTACTTTTTTTGCAGGCAATGAGAACAATCATTTCACTTTTTCACCAAGTGCCGGCTCCAATACATCTCGGCTGATTCTTGCATCGCGGTTTGACTATGAGAGCGGGTTTGACACAAGCTGGATTTACAATCTGCGCGTCTACATAACAGATGACAATTTACTGTCTGGCAGGGACAAAACTACACATTTAATTGAAACTGGAATGGTGACTTTAAGCATCAGAGTTATCCCAAACCCAACTACTGCCATTACCACGACAGTAAGTTCACTGAAATTTATGTCCAGTTCTGCATGTCCTTTATGGACTAATCTCCACAAAATTGATGAAAAGAGGGTAAGTGCATGCAAAAGGAAAGCAAAAACCTAGAGTGGATCCGGTCCTGGGCAGTGCTGAGCCCTATGCTCTTATGATAAAGCCAAAGGTGCTTGATCTGCTTAGCACCATGAAGCATTAGTCCCAGGTACAGAGTTGTAACATGTGTTTTGTATTTCAGTTTCTAAAACAAAAAGGGCAAGTGGCCAAAGGACTGGGCACACTGCCATTACCATGCAACTGGAAAGTTAAAGATTTTGGCAGCTTTATTAATAAGGAAAGAGCAGGGATTAACCTTTGCCTGGAACCTTAAAATTACCTCATGCATTTTGCACTGCTTTTTTATTCATATCTCTTTACTTCTCCAGCTGCCTTGCACTTCTCTGTGCTTCTTTAGCAGTGGAATACTGTGGCTACCAAAGTTGAAAAAGACAACAACAACAACAAATCCTCATCACTTGGAGGGATCTTTTTCCCATCACTGTCCTGTAAAACTTGGAGCAGCCTGTCAGGAGCTGAAGCTGTTGTGCACAGCCTCAACATGTCACCGAGGTTTCAGCAGGTTTCAGACAACAAATCCACAGGGGTGGGATGCATATTTCCCGATCTCCCATCCCATGTGGTGGTCCATAGCTGAGTTAGGGAAGCCTGTACAGCTTTCAGCAGCCCAGGTGGGATCTGATCTTGCACAGCCTGTGGGTGTGGGCCTGTGTCCCAGCAACACAGTTCGCTCCTCTGCACAGCCATCCCAGGCAAGCTCTGGTTTTCCAGTTTAATTTTGGAGCTGATTTCCATCAGGCTGGTGCAGGATGTAAGGAGAGCTTTCTTTTGTCTTGTCTGCAGAAGTGGCACAGCCTGAGGGTATGGACCACTCTGTCCCCATTCTTGTGCTGGTCATCTCCTTTACCCCTTGCCGCAGCATCTTCCATCATCCATAGTTCATCCATTCCCTACCTGCCTGCAGATGGCATTACCCTTTTCTCTTTTGCATGCAGGAATGAAAATATGAGTTTACAAATTAAAAGAGCTCTTCACTGTAAAATGGTCTGGGTCTGCTAGAGGCTACTGGTAACCGAGCCAGAAACAAAGGATCCTGCAAACAGCACATGCAAGTCTTTATGCTCTGCTATGAAAATGCTTAGATCCAAATTAATAACGCTGTTATTATTTAATGCTCCGTTGGGAAGGAATAAATGGTTTTCTCACAGCCTTCTATTCCCCCCTACTTGATGTGGAAATGAAAATTAAGCTGAATAAACTTATTCTGTATTTCTTTCCCGTGCTTTACCACAAATACAAACAGTCTTAACCACATACCACAGCATTAAATCTGCCTCTCCAGAGATATCAGCCTTCCACTTTCAGTCTATTTTCCAGAAGAGCACTTCCATTACAGCAAGTTCTCCCATCACTACTCATGTGTTCAGTGCAGCAATTTGCTGAATCAGATACTGGAAGGCTGGTAGTGTAGAAAAGAAGCCCTGTCACAAAAAGTCATTTGTGACTTCAGTCTAAGTGAGGATAGAGTGGTGGCAGTGATCTTGAGATTATTTGAGAGTTTCTCTAAGGATTGGATGTATCTTTTATTGGCAAGGCTAAATAGGTTATTTGAAAATTATCCTTAAACTGGAAAGAAATAGACACCCTACTAAATTTCATACACAATGTGATTACAAATGTCTCACAGAAAAGTAAATAAAAACTTCAGTAGGTTAAAAAATCTAATAGTACCACAATGGATAATGAACCAGCTAGAGCAAATGACCAATTTCTTAAATGCGTGAGGATAGTTTCATGATGGGACCTTAATGAATGAGTTGCTAGCACCAAGTGACATGCCAGAGATGTGTCTCCTGACACTCAGGAAGATGTGGGAGATTGCAACTGCTCAGGAAGTGTGGTTTTCCCTTCTGGAACAAGTTATGGGGCAAAAAAAGGAGTTTCATTTCTTTTTATACAATAACCCAGTTCCTTAGGGTTCAACTCCTCTTACAAAGGAGGCTGAACGATGACTGCAGTGAAGATGACCTACTTCCAGTTTTGCCTTAGGTAATAAGAAACCATTATCTCAGTAATGGCAGTATTCCCTGAACTTGCTCGCCCTCCAAAAGTGCGCTCACAGTCTCTCAGTCAACCTGTGACTTTTAAGCCCCACCACAACATGCTTGTTTTAATATAAGGTATTGAAACTTGATATGGAACCTCCCTTTTGCATTGTGGGTGGGCTTCATTTCACCTGCCTTTGTTTGGCCCAGGAGCTCAGTGGTCCACCTCAGCCATCTGAGCTGCCTTGGCAGTCAGTAGGCAGGCAGATGGGATGGATCACTGTCTCCAGCAGACACTATTTCCCAGGTGCCAGGTGCTTCAGTGCAGAAGTTCAAGCAGATGAAAGGTGCTGTTGGTGTCAGTACCCTTACAAGTGTTCAGCCTTAAGGAATTTTTCTTGTCTTCTTTTAAAAGCCTGGCTTCACTGTTGTGACAAGAAGGGAGAACCTCTACTCTGCATCGGCATGGTACGTGCCGTTCATCGTCACCCTTGGCAGTTTGCTCCTCCTCGGACTCCTGGGGTTCCTGGGATTCCTGCTGGTGACCTGGGTCCGCACCCGCTGCCCTCCAGCAGGGAAAGCACACCGCACACCTCTGTGAGTTAGCCCAAGCCTTTTAGCTGGAATGAAATCTACGCTTTAAATCTTTTACAGTGTTGTGCCCTTCCCTGTAGTAAATGCTGTCACCAGCTACAGTGATATTTGGTGTTAATGATATCAAATCAAGAAAAAATGTCTACAGCATTTTTTTCATGGATTTAGTAACATCAGCATTAAAAGGTAGTAGGGGAATTAGCAATTATGACCTCTAAAGGCAGCTATGCTTGTGAGGCTCAGTCAGAGCCTGTGCCAGGCTGTGTTGCCCATAGCAAGTACAAGTGCTTTTGGTTTGCATTTGATCCCCATTCCAAGAGAGCACCCATCTAGGTAGTTACTGAATGCAGTTTCCTCCCTCCCAGAGTCCTTTGCAAATCTGCTCATGCCAAATTCATTGTCCTGGCAAAGCTTCTGGAGGTTTCCTGGAGTTTTACCCAAACCAGTTGCAAGGCTCTGGCCCATAAAGCTTAATGGTACCTCTAAATGCTTGTGCTTGGCAAAAGACATGGAAGCACCTGGGACTGGACTCCGGTTCACTGTGGGAAGCGCAGAGATCCCTGCTGGCTGGCTTCTCAGTGGGCTGGAGCCAGGCTGCCTCTAAATTGACTTTTTACTTCACAAAACAAAGGTAAGCAGTCCTTTAAGTGGACTGGGATTAAAAAAAAAAAAAAAAGAATTTCTTTAAGTATTCTCTGGATTTGGACACAAATTTAGAAGTTACAGGAAATGTAAAGAGGTAATATATGACTGATGTTAATTCAAATGATGTGTGCAAGGCATTTACAAGGTGTGATAAAAATGACAAATGAATCTAAGCTATTGTTATTACTTATTAATAGGCAAAATTATTCATTGGGAGCCAGGTTCTCCCATTAAAAAGCAATTTCTATATTTTCAAAAACATTTACAACCTTTCAAATATTTTAAAAGGTATTATCTGAGCAGATCAGATTCAAAAAGTTGACCTTCCTCCAAGGATGGAACAAGATGACAGTATCTGAAAATATATTTTTCCAGATTGTATAAATCCATCATGCTATTATCAATAAGACTTTATTATTTCAATGTCATCCCTTCTTGAAGAGGTGTTAGAGCAATGTTCAGGTCTGCTTTCCTGCTTGAGAGCAGCAATAAATGATGCAGGCCTTCAGTGAAAGCAAAACCAGAAACCAAACAAATCAGGCAAATCTCAGAACTCAAGGAAACACCCTTCTTGCCAAATAAAAGAGAACAAAGCACGATATTTTTAGGTAGGCAAAAGTATGACATTTGTTAACTACACTCTTAATCTTTTTTTTGTTACAGGATAGATACTCCAGGTGCGTACCTCTTTTTTATATTTTAATGCTTCATGACAAGACCTTGTTTATGATTCAGTGTAAGATTTGTAAACTAATTTCTAGACAAATGAATTTGACCAGTACACGGGTACTGAGATTAGATAAGTCTGGCCAATTATGGGAGGCCTGACTAAGTGATTTCATGGCCCTTTTGGTGTTCAAAGCTGTCAACTATGAGGTAAAAAGCAGATTCAGAGTATCCCGGTATTTTGGCACGGGTGCTAAAGAATGACTGTATTTTTCACATGCAATTCACACGCTATCTGTCAAAAAAATAATCCCATCTACCTACAGCACCTTCAAGAATCCTCTCCACTCTAAGTCCCTGTTCTCTGATCACTTCAATTTCTCCCTTGACACCATTACTTCATGTACCTGAGGATTTATTTTCAAGTATTGGTGCTTTTAAAGGGGTTTGTATAACTTCGCAGGGGTATAAATTGCACATGAAAAAGCATGCTTTTTTAAAGAGTTCCTTTTATCCCATTAGCTTTCTGCTAGCAAGCACTGTTCAGATGGGCTCAGTAGGACCCCGCTTTTGTAACTCTTTCTTCTCAACTGCTATCTCCCAGCTTGAAAAAGCACAGAACTAACAAACCCCACAAAATTAGCTGTTCTCTTGGTTGCCCAGTTTGAGACATTTCAGCATTGGCTGGTTTCCAAAAAAATGAATGCTTGGCTTTTTCTGAAAAACTGGTTCTCAAATGCTGGGCAGGAAAGGCCAGACAAAACAGGCTTCCCATCACTGCTCAGGTTGAGACCCATCTGCAGCACTGCAGAGTATTGCAAAGCCCGTTGGTGGCCAGGCACACAGTTCTCCAAAGAAACCCCATTAAACAAATTGGCAAGGAATGGGCAAGAAGAAATCATAGCAACTTGTTGGGTATCATCCATGAATCCATGCTGTCGAGATGCCCGTGGCACTGCTGCTGTATTTGTTTGCATGTGGGATGAGTTAATAGTGTGGTAAATTCACACAAAACCAAACTGCTCTTCAATCTGAATTTTACTTGACTGGAACTGCAGCACTTGCCTGTTTTGTCTCCAAGTGGATGTTTGTTGTAGTTCAAGGAACTACAATAGTCTACGTTTCTAGTTCAGATATCCCCAAAGCTGAATTTCTCTATATCTTCATATTATTTAAAAAGAGAAATTTGTTTAAAAAACCATTGTTATTCATTCATTACTGAAGGAATAAGACTTTTCAAGGCTAGACTTAATTAATCTTAGGCAACTGTGGATTCCCACTCTAAGATACTATGAGGGAATTCACTTTTCAAGACTCATTTGAGATGTCTCAGAAATTGAGTAGCAAGAATATCTATTTGTCTGAGGAAATCTTGGCTTTAGTTTCTATAGTCATGCTCAGAAAAGTCTGATTCTTTACAGTGTGTGTGTTTTCCTTTCTGCAGAAAAGAAGAAACCTAAGAAAGACGTGGTTGTGGTAAGTACTGCTGGCCTCAAAATAAAACCCTGTTTTGCCAGCCCCATCATGCAATATGATCATAGGACCCTTTCTATGAAAGGTGTCTGTTTTCAAAGAGAATATAAAAATGATAGACAAGGAAAAAAGGAATACCCTCAAGTGCAAAATATTTCGGTGTCCCAACTGGCCTCTGTTTGGAGGCAACATTGGGTGTAAGGGATGCTCGCCTGCATGGGGCCCCTTTGCTTCCAAATGCTGAAATGCCTACTGGGGAGCCCAGACAGGCTGTACCCACAACAAGGAAAGGGAGACTCACTACACCCACAGAGGTGGGATGACAAGTGCCACAGCTTCACTGATGCCATTGGTGTGCTGCTGAGAACACCTCTGACCTGTGCAGCTGACCCTGACCCACCTGAGTGCAAGCAGTGAGGTACACAAGCTGTAAAGAGTCTGGTCTTGGTAAGCTGTTTGCAGGAAAATGCCATAGTTGTTTCTACTGTTGTGGATGTTTCTTTGCTCCTCGATCTCAGGGCTCCTTCATTTTCATAGACATAATATCATAAAGGCTGTAAGGCTCTCAGGCATATGGTGTCATTCTTGGAGTGGTCCTGTGCAGGGCCAGAAGCTGGACTTCAATGATCCTTGTGAGTCCCTTCCAACTCAGGATATTCTATGAATCTATGCAAGGCACTTTCATCAGTGAACTCCCTCTCCACAAGTTCTTCAGAGAGGTGATCCCCAAGCCTTCTTTGTGTGGAGAAGACCACCCTGTGGTTACCCAGGTGGAGGTATTTAGAGTGTCAGACCTTATCAATTCTCTCTTGAACACCTCATGGTAAAACCCTACACCATGAATGACTCTTGTTGCCAGTTTAGATTAAACCCAGCCTAAAGGAATGCAATATACAGGTCACACAAATCCACCTCCATCCATGTAGACCACTGTTTCCAAGTCACTGCTTCTTCTTCATACTCAACTAATTCACAGGATTCATTTCACATATCGTGTCTCTTCACAGACGATGACAAAGCTAAATACTATCTTTGATGGAGAAGCCAGAGACCCAGGTAAGAAAAAGCAATTAACAGGGGATATGAACATTTGTCTGGAAACAAACTGGATTAGTTGATTTAAATATGGTTCGACATTGACTTTTCGTGTTTCAGGTTTGCTGTTTCCAGGAAGAATGGGAGTTATATCTCACAGAGAGTACAAATCAAGACAGTGCCTCAGTAACATTTCTAATGGTAGAATACACTCATGGCCCTTGAAAGCATACATCCAATGGCCAGATTATTCACTAGTCCTCTGCCAAGCTTGAATATATGGATGTGGTATAGGAAGGTGGGAGGGGAGGAGGAATTTTCTGCGAGCCTCTTGCTCTGGCTATGTGGTTTCCCCCATCCCATCTCTGGGAAATGGTCAGGAGATTAATGTAGCTGCAGAAGTACTGACTTTGTCTCTTAAATCTCTCCCTGGATGCACGGTGGGTCACTCGTTCCTGCACAGATCTTCTCCTTTGCAGAAACACTGCACTGCTGCTGTTTATCCAAGCATCTCTTGTTAGGGAGGAAAGGGAAGATCTTTTGCTTTTAGATATTTGTGGTGGCATCAGCTATCAAGTGTGTCACCAGGCTCCAGTTATGCTAACTCTGAGCATATCTGATTAACCAGCTGGGAAAAGGGAAAATAGGGCAAAAGCTACAAACCCCAGGATGATCAGGGAGGTGTGTGCTTATCCCCTTCCTCAAGTGACAGCCAATGTGCTCTGCAGCAGGGTTCATTGCAGAAAAATGTGGTTTTTTCCTAAGGGTTGTTCTGACTTACTTCATTCCCCTGAAACACAGCCCCTGGCTGAGCCCCTCGCTGTGATGCTTGGCCTGGAATTAGGACACCCAGCCCTGTGCCTAATGGATGAGGGCCCCAGCATAGAGGTGGAGGGGTGGTAATATGTGACAGTCAGTCCAAATAGGTCTTTAACAAATAGATCTGAAAATAGGTCTGAAACAATAGGTCTAGAAATTATCCAGGAGAAGGCAGGTTTGTTTTGATGCTTGAATTCATCTCGCCAATTTCCACCCAAGTGCCTGTACCTTGTGTTTCTTATTAGCTGGCTCGGAGCTGTTGAATGCCTTGAGCTAATGGGAAACACTAGGCATGGAGACTTCAGTAGAATTTGGGGAAAACAAAGGGAGCCCTACTGTGCAATTAAACCCATCCACAAGGCTGCTCAAGGCCAGTTTGATCCAAGTCCAAGCACACCTGCTTTTTATAAAGAGATCTGGAGGGATGGGCTCCAGAATCCCTGCTTTTTCCCTATGTAACTTCATTTGTAATACATGGATAGTGTCTAGGCTGCCACAAGAGCTGCTTTCCAGTGTTCTTGCATGACAGCTGGTGGCTCTCTTTCTCAGGAAACCTGTCCACACTAGACTTAAGGATATCTGAGCCCATCCAATCTGCACTCCAGAGCCAAAGCATTTATGTCATGCCTGACACAAACATTAAGCTGTCACACAGCTTTGTGGTGTCAGCAGGGAAATGTGTGCTCCTCGCTCCTCCCCTCTCTTCTCCACAGCTCATCCAAAACCTAGAGGATCAAGTGTTGCCAGTTTGGAAATGAGATTTAATAATTCCCAGGACATCATCTGTTGAATATGATTAAGAGGGATGGTCAGAAGCTGCTTCATGATCTGGGCTGCTTTAACCTGCCCGCCTTGTAAGCAGGCAATAAAAATAACATGTAAAGAGATCCAGTTTCATCTTTAATTGCTCAAATTGTGTTAATGTGTCAGAAACCATTAATTCTGATACAAACTGTAACATGTAGTAACAAGTAACCACTGTTTCTTTCCAGGCCTTAATGGTCTATTGTTTGTCTTATATTACTAATGTTTAATTACAAGAAGTGCCACTATAGCTCCTGATTCTCTGTTTAGCAAGAAATAGAGATTTAGACTATGAGGTGATCACACTGGAGACATGGCAGTTTTTCAAGCTATCTCTAGGTAGCAAACAAGCTGAAGGAGAAAACATTTACTTTTAAAGTACGCGTAGAAATTACCCATAAAATCTAAATAGAGACAGAAACCTCCCTAATAAGGAAAGGCAGCCATGTGTGCTGAACAACCAAAATGTAAAAATATTTAATATATATGAGGGAAGCATGTACTTGTACAAACAGAAAACACAAGGTACTTCACTCTATTAATGACAATGTGCACAGCAAGCCTCAAGGAAAGCATTTTATGCCAATGGAGAAGGAATACGTGCAGCCAAAACTCATTGGAGAGCCCATATCTCCAAATTCTGTGTCAACTTAGATGAGCTTACATTGCCTGGAAGATGTATGTAATATATTGTGCTCCTAAGCAGGTTTTGCTACCTCTGGTAAGCAACTCTATTTGACAAAATAGGCACAGACATCCACAATGGCAAAAGACATAAGTTTTGGGATAGTTAGTCCTTACAACTAACAGCTATGGATGTGTTTGTTACACTGCCCATACTAATCTATGGTAGCTGTAACTCAGATAGAGGTATAGGATGATAAGAAGGTGCTATTTTTTTGAATGGGAATGTTTTGAATATTCCTATCCCCCAAACTGTGGAGCCAGTTCTTATAGTGGCAGAACAGCAACTCCTCTGTGAGGCCACAGCAATGCCCAAGTCCCCACACTCTCTTGCAGAAATGAGACTTTCAGGGCCACCTCCCCAGCTCAGCTGATTTTCCAAGTGCTTCATGTTTCTCACTTCAATCCCATGCTGAGAATTGTCATGTCTTAATCTGCTAAAGCAGGAATGATTTTAATCAGTTGTCTTTTTGTTCTTGCAAGTTACTGGCAGAATGTATGAATTCAATACGCGGTCGGGGGCCCGGAGGTGGAAGAAGAGCAATGAGCCCCTTAAGCCAATACTGGCTGGTCAGGTTACATACAGTGCCACAAACAATAGTGGCCAAGGGACAGACAGAGCAGAGACAGCAAGTAAAAAAGAACCTTCAGAGAAGAGGAAAGAGCTGACTGCAGCAACAAAACCAGCTACCAAGCCCTCAGCAGACCAGGATGGACTGAGATTACAAAAGCATAAAGAGGAGTCTGAGGGCAGGGGGTTATCCTCAGTGGCTCCCCAAGGTGGGAACTGACCTCCTATCCCCAAATGAACCCTGCATTGCCATTAAACCAGAGTTCATGCAATTCCAAGCTGCTTTCCAAGCAACCTCTGATCTGAATAGCCAAAGGATCAGATGTGATTTTTCTCTCTATATATCTCAGCTGCAAAACATAAGGTGGCCACTGGTGTGTATACTGGACCCAAAACCAGGATGAAGCTGGAGGTACCTTTGACAGGTGCGTGTATGAGTGGGAGAGAAAGGGAGGACGTGAAAGTGAGAGAAAAGGAAACAAAAGCAGAGTCACAGATAAGAATTCACTACCCACTGCCCCCTACAGACACCGGCAGTGTCCTCCTGGAGGAGCTCTGCAACCCCAACCAACATGGCCACGTCCTCTGACTGCCTTTGGGAATGGCAGCATACGTAGGGATGTGCTTTCTCACCAGCGAATGTGGTCTCCTATCCCTGCTGAGCAGCAGAATGAGTGAAAACCACATCAGGGTAGAAATGTCGGTAGAAATGTGTGTTTATAGAAGCTAAAAATACTTGCTTTTCATTGAGTATTTTATTTCAGCCCTTTCTTGCCCTCCCATCTTGCTGTAGAAAAGACTGTGGCTTGAAAGCAATTATGGAGTGGAGAAAACCCACAGCTTGTTATGGTATCTCAGGCTGTCATGTCAACGCTTTCAGCTTATTTATCTTTCATAACACTAGCAACACTAGCAGCATTTAATATCTTCACCTTTGGTATTTTCTCTGGCATATTTAATGTTTTACAGAATCAAGTGGAACACACTCAAAAGAATAATGACAGTAAGCACATGGGGTGAAATAATCTTTTCCTAGTGTGGGAATGTATAATGTAAGTGCTGTCTTAAGAACTGATATAAAACAAGCAAACCCTACGAGATTTCTGAAAATTATTTTAATCTGAAGAAAAAAAGTTATAAATGATGACTTAATGCTTCATATCTTGGCTTCTTTTCTTTCCTGATTACAAAAAGGTTTTTTGGCAACAAAGTGCTGATACCAGATGATGAAACAAAAACTCGGTTTAACTTGAGCAGGGACAGTCAATGACGATTTTATTCAGTCTGTCAGATGCATTGTTTTTTGTCATACAATGAAGGACCTGGATGGAGAGGTCCATGATAATTTCACCAAGGATCCTACACTTCACAAAACCACCTGTCATGGTGTTGTGACCCTTTGCTGTGCTCCAAAGGAGTGGTTTGGCTCAGCAACAACTTCCCTTACAAACACCAATCACCTTCAGTCAAATGCTCATTCGTTGCACAATCAGAAACCCAGCATGTAATGAATATCACAATGGCAGAGATAGGAAAGAGTGATTTATACTCTCTTAGCATGTTATCAGTTTATTGTGTCCCTGGTGGTTGTCATAGTGTTGTTTGACCCTCCAGCATCAACAGGGCCAGACACACATTCAGTGCTCCAACCCACTATTGTTTGCATTTGTTTGCTGTAAATACAATACATTTGATTCCTATGCAGGTGATTTTCCAGTGACATAGAGAAACTCTACAGTAAGTGATAGTACTGATGTAACTGATCTTCCTAGCACTCTGGCACGAAGCTACCCATAGGCATACATGGCACCTCCAAATGGTAAATTTTGTTACCTGAAGAAGTTAACTGCATTGCTTTCATGACAGGAAGACACACAGGCATTTGTATTTACTTTCCTGGACATTTCTCTAGGGCAGCTGCTCTGCTTCCTCAGTTATTCTCATTCTGCTTTAGTGATTAAGAGGCAAATACCTTTTTTTTTAAAAGGAGGCAGAGACAGGCTATAGTTTCAGCCAGGAAATCTGCAAAGGGACAGATGAATACTCCTCTTTCTTTACTACTGTTCCTGCCTCTGAACTGCACAAACTTATTTCCTACCTTCTCAGGAAAAAAAACCCAACAGCAGCATAACATGGTATCACACCATACTCCGAACACCCATGTATGCAAACACACTGTCACAGCCAACACTGCTGGTGCTGTAGTCTCTGACAGCTGGCCAACAGCTGGGTGAAAAGCAACTACTCTCATAGTGATGCTCACATACTCTAACCTCAGAACAACAACCTCAGAGTTCTACAAAGAGGTGCCACGGACTTAAGAGAAACCAGATCCAAGAGCTAACACTGCCCAGAATGCTTGCACCTGGTTGAGGTGTGTTTAGCTGGTATATTCAGAGTCTGGGGGCAGGGCAGGGGGGGCAGGTTTAGGCAAGATAAAGTATCCTGTGAGTCTGTGCTGCATGGGTAAACAAGTGTGCTGACCATAAACTGCAGCTTCACCAATCCTTACGCTGTTGCTTCAATATGTGCTATGCTGATCTCTAGGTCCAACAAATTCTTCATCCTGATCTTCACTGCAGGACCTTGTTTTGGGCAGGACTACTTTCCTTGCTTGGGATCTACTAAATCAAGGAATAACAAGGCTTTATATGAGCAACAGCTTTATGCAAAAGTGGCACCATTTTCCTCTTAGCTTCCCCTGCTACTATTGATGTTCCTCCCCGTGAAGTAATCAAGAATGAATTTAGGTCTCATTGAGCCAAAGCACAGCCATTCATTTCTCCGGGCTGCCTTTGATAAGGCAAAAGCTGAGAAGATAAAACTGACTGACCTAGATGTACGTATACCTGTTACTTATTATATCAAAAAATACGTGAAATGATGCTTTGAATATATGCAAAATTCTTTTTCATAAAATAGAAATTATAATATGCTGTGCAGTGCAGCTTTAAATGTTAAAAACCTCTTCCAATTGTCAAACCAGCTTTTGTGCTTTTTCTCATTCATAAGTGTCTCCTAGAGCACAGATTCAGTGTCCTGAACTGGCACTAGGTGGACTGAGAGCAAAGATTAAGTGCAGCTCTACACAATAAAAGCGTTTGATAATTGGAACAATTAGCCAAGACCAGGAGGCCTTTCCATCATTTGAAGCCTTCAGAAGTCAAGAATGGCTGCTGTGTGCTGTAGAGGGTCAGACTAGATGATGGGAACAGCCTCTCTAGTCTTCAACAGCTCTGTTAGTCTCTGTGCACACAGATACAAGGTGTGAACTTTGGTGCCATTTATTTTAGAGGGATGACACTGATAAGCTTAGACTAGAAGAAGAAAGGCACCTAGTGGTTCAAGCAGAGTGGCTGAGGGCAACAGTTCCTGACCTACAGCTGCCTAATACATGTTATGCATTAATTTTATCTGGTCTACAAAAATCAGTGTGAGTTCTGCCACAGGTTTTGATTGCTGTGTCTCTACCTATTACACATCTCTGAAGTGCTTTGAGACCTGTGGATTAACATTGCTCTGAAAGTATCAAGACTGATTAGGAAAGAGCACAGGTCACTTTTCCTGACTGAGTCTAATTCCCCCAGTAGCTTATGTGTGACCATGTTACTGAGGTTTTTGTGCTGTTCTCCAAACTGAATGTACTTCTAATGCATAAATGTTCTGCTTTCATGCTGGTGTTATAAATAGCACTTGCAATAAACATCAGAAGTCTCAGCTTCTGGCAGTGTAACTTCATTTTTATCAAGGAATGTAAAAGTGCTGATACTGTATTTGCTTATGGTCTCAAAGAGACCTACACATGAGAACAACCTCAGCTATAGAGATGGAGAATGTCTCCCCAGGAGGCTGCCACTTCGTGACTGCTCACTAGGAGCAGGAGATGGTGCTTGGATCCCCTCAGAGAAGGAGTGTCAGACAAGGGGAACAATCCTCCTCCCTCTGAGCAAAAATCTGGTTGTTCGGTTATTTTATGAGAGGGGATTGGAATGCCATAATGGAACTAGCATTTTAACAGCAAGCAGCCACAACTACATATTGCACATGCCCTGGATGATTAGTTGTCTGATACCCCCAGCCACAACAGGTCCTTCAAAAGGCTCCAGATGAAAGGCTGAATATGGGCATGGCCCCCACTGGGTTCCATCCACGCACGGTTTGTCTGAACTAGTCACTGCAAGCTCCCCATGTTGTCACTGGGGAGAAAGAGCACTTTAGGGGTGACATATTAAAAACAAGATGTCTAGAACAGATCAGATGAACTGTGCCCTAAAAGCAGCTCTTTCTGGATGTCTAGATCAGATATTTAATGCCTCCGCAATACACACAAAGGTAAATCAGCTGAATCTCAGCCCAGGTTGTTTGGGTGAGGGCAGGTCTGTACTGCTGCACCAACGCCTGAGGAAGCTGAAAAGCAGGAGAAAGCTGAACACAGAGGTCAGCCAGGCTTTGCTCAGGAGGAAATGGGGCTCCACCCATGCTTTGTTAGTGCTCCGAGGTCTGCAGAATGCTTTCTGGGATCTGACTTGGGGTAACTCTGCATCTGGAAGCATGTTCTGAGATGTGCTTCAAAGTAGCCCTGTAGAAAAGCATGGACCTGGCCAGGAGACTGAAGAAGTCAAATACAAGCTTCAGCGACTTTCTGCAGTGACTCTGTTATTGAGTGAAAGACACCCTTGAAATCAAAATAGATAAATAGATCTTACTCTGAATGCTATTCAAGGATGATACCACTCAGCAGCTGTTTGGCACCAAACTCCAGCTCCTGCAGGTCTATAGATGCCCTGGGATTTGATTTTGAGGCAAGGTACATGCTTAATTTCCAAGGCTTGAAAATAGCATTTGGAGAACGACACAGGCAGGCATGGTTTGCTCCAGCCACGCAGTTGTGCCTAATTTTCAATTCCTTATGGTGGGTACCAGCTGGGGCCATGCAAAGAGGAGCTGCAGTGCTGTGTTTGCACAGGGCACACCTGGATTAGCCCTGTCTGGCACAGCACAGCTTGCCCTGCCCAGGTGTCAGTACGGGGCTCAGCCCATGGTGCCTTGCCTGCTGGCCAGCTGTGACAGCCAACTGTTTCCAGAGGAGCTGTGAGTATCCCCGTGCACAGGAACCTCCACTGGGGAGGGTTTGCAGACTGGTTCCTGTCCCTGTAGGCAGGTGGGCCCACAAGCTGCTGGATCTGCACATTTAGCACAGCTCTGAGCACAGCCTGCTATTAGGTCCAGATAGGCTGTCATTAGAAAAACAAGGTGAAGGCCCAGCAGAGGGCAACAAAGATGATTAGGGATCTGATACATCTCTCTTATGAGGAGAGATTGCGGGAGCTCGGCCTGTTTAGTCCAGAGAAGACAGAGGGGATCTCATCTATACATATAACTATCTCAAAGTTGGATGTCAAGAAGATGGTGCCAGACTCTTTTCAGTGGTTCCAAGTGAGAGGGCGAGGAGCAATGATTATAAACTGAAAAACAAGAAATTCCACCTCAAAATGAAGAACTTCTCTGTGTTGAGGGCGAGACAGCACTGAACACGCTGCCCATGACAAGGAGGTCATGGATTGCTCCTCTCTGGAGACATTCCAAACTCACCTTGGTATGGTCCAGGTCACCCTACGTTGGCAAGGGGGTTGGACTGGATGATCTCCAGAGGTCCCTTCCAACCCTGACTATTCTGTGATTCTGTCACAATACATTGCCACCCGGCCACACTGGCACTGGGAGGAAGAGAAGCTCCAGCACCCCCTTTGCTGGCCTAGTCTCTGCTCGCTCCAGCCGTCTCTCTTCTCCTGTAGTTACTGAAGGCAATGGCAGAGAAGGGCTCTCAGCCATCCTGTCAGTGACCGGTCAGCTGAAACTTCCTCCGGGCCCTCCTGGCAAAGAGGGAGGCAGGGGGATGCCCCTCACTTGGAACAGGGAAGCTGAGACGCGGCGTTCCTCCCACGGCAGCGCGGCTGCGGCGTGTCCGAACTGCCCCGGCCGAGCCCTGCTCCTGGTGCCGGCCCAGCCCCGGCTCTCCCAGCCCAACCCGAGACCCCCCTTGCCCGCGGAGCGGCCCCGGCGCCGCCGCAGCTTCGCAGAGCAACACCGACCCCCAGCGCTCGGCCGGGGAGAGGCGGCGCCGGCCGAGGATGCTCCTCTCGGGGTGTCTCGTACCCCTGCCCGCACCCGGCCCAGCGGAGGATCGGCGGGTGCAGGGGTCGCGGAGAGAGGGCGAAGGCAGCAATAAAGGTAAATTTGAGAAAAACGAGGAAAAAGAGCTTGGCAGTCAGGCACCATAGCGGTGCAGGCGTATCCAGAAAGAGATGATCCCCTTATAGGATTAATCCGTTGCAGAGCACACTGGGTCACTTCAGGAACGATCAAATGACCTATTTTCTGTTTACTTTGAGCTCTTCCCTTCACCACACTGAACTGAAACCATTTCTTGCTGTTTATCTGAGCCACAGGATGGATGCTCCTGTACTTCATCAACTACTCTTTTATATCCATGGAGCTAGCAGGCGGGAAAAGATACTCTGGCAGTTCTCTGCACAGCCATGGATGCCAAAGCAATAAGGAACCATATTCAATCCATTTTCACACTGAATTTCTAAATGCTCCTCCCTGCAATATCCAGCCTGATTGCATCTTCCCACTTCATGCAAGTGGTATAACCACACTAACACCTACAGAGGAGGCTGAGCTTTCCCTATTAACTACCAGTACCAGGGATAGCTGTCTAATGTACTTACCCTGAAACATCCTTACAGGTGGTAAAGTATGCAGCCTGTGGCAGAAGCATCTATAAGATCAGAAATTCCCCCAAAATTCCAGGAGGGAAAAAAGCAGTTTAGAAAAGTGACAGCATTCAAAGAGATCAAAATTGACACCAGTTTCTGCCAGTGACCTTTTGCTAGAAGTTTTTGCTATTTTCTGTACCAAAATACAGCAGTGTTTGTGTGTTACCAAAGATTAAAAAGTGAGGACTAAAATCCAAATGTGCAACCTCACCTATTTGGCTCCTACCCAGCTCTGAAAGTGCCTGAAGAAATTAGGCACCTTGGTCTGTTCATCATCACCCCAAAAAGCCACCCTAGATCTCTGAGGACATCTTCTGAGCCTGCCCAGAGAGACCAGAGTCCTAATAGTGATATATAAACCTCAATGAGGAATTTCCCCAACTATTTTGCCTGATACCAGGATGTGTTTTGGCATCCTATCAACCCCACTGGCTCTGAAGGAGATGAAAGGGAAGGGGGAAGTGAGCAGAGTGTAGGTGTAGCTCTCCCTGCATAAAGTCTGCATAAAGTGGATAGTCTCTGTGAGACACCTGACAGCTAACCTCCTTTAGTGCACCCTCCAGGACCAGTGCAGCTGCACCTGGTACCTTATATCCTTTTGTCGTCTCTCCCCTTCACTGTTGTTCTTTCAGTGTGGGAGCCAGCTCAGATGATCAACAAAGAACTAAAGTAACAGGCATTTCAGGACAATATTTCAGTGTTGTTCCAACAGGTAAGTCAGGATAAAGGTGGATGCTCCCAAGCACAGCCAGTGTTGAATCAGTACCATGTTCTTAACATGCTCCTGAAGAGATCCTGCCCCATTACTGAACCAGAAGCTTTTCCCCAGAGTTAAAAGAGCATGAACTTACCCACTTAACAAAATAAAGCAGCAGCCAGCCCCAGGGTGCCTCCAGCCAGAACTTGGATGTAATCACTCTGCTGGCTCTTCTTGCATGAAAGATTCACTGTCCTTTCAGCTTTGTTAGCTGTGGGTCATGACACATGGTTCCAACCGAAGGGTAGCCCAAGGAATTAATCCTTAAGAGACTGATCCTTCACAGTCCTGCCCAGCTTGCAGGTAAAACTGTCACTCCAGCCTTAAGGCCTATTGCGCTTGCTGTAAATCCATACAAATAACCACCCAGCTCACTGAAAAGTAGGTTCATGGTCTCTTGAAGAAGAAAGGAGAGCTCTTCCAAGTTTCCAGAAGTCCTGCTCTCTTTCCATCAAGTAAATATTGAAAGCTCTGAAGTGTCCATGTTGGCCGCATGCTAAACCAGACAATCAGTAAAGTTCAAAATTAAATTTCTTCCTTGATTAAGAGCTTCCAGGGCCTCAGGTCAAGATACAGGCCCCTTGGTTTTTTTACTTTAGCAAGGCATTTCTCAAATTCATTTCTTGGTCTAGCTTCATCCTCAAGATGCTCTTCATGGAGCTGAGTGTAAAAAGCCTCCTGTGCCTGCCAGTCCTTTCTCATTACTTTTGATGCACAGTCTCTGTGGAAACTACAGCTAAAAATAATCACCCTCATCTCCTCTACTGCCACATACTATTTTATTCTTTAACTGTAACTGCCTGATCTACCTGCATCCATGATCTTCCAGGAAGAGACCTTGCCAGTACCATGCCTATTTCTGCCTGAGTACTCTCCAGGAACACTGCTGGTGTTGTGCCTGGTGTCATTGCTTGTACACTGTCATAAAGATTCCTCATATGCCACAGTCACTACTGGGAACTTCCAATAATACCGAATTCAGCTCTGAGTTGCTGCAGATTGAAGGACTGTATCTCTGTTTTTCTCCTTTAGACTCATTATTAGAATATTGTGTCCTTTTCTCTCCTCTTCTGCTTCTGATCAGACATCTTCGTTTACTTGCCAGCTCACAGTAAAATGTCCAGTTGAATTGCAGGCTGTTTCCATGGTGTAAATGTGAGGTGTTCCAGGAGCACTAGAAACACACCATGTCAGTAAAAAACCCAAAGCCAACACTGGCCCTTTTGAAGAGTGGGAAGGTTCCTGAGATGCAACACTCCATGAAGCCCTTGCATAAGAGTAATTAAAATTCAATCTGAAGACATCAACAGCCTTCTTCTGCCGTGTGCAGACTATGGCTCTTGTATGGTACCAGAAAGAGAATTTTTTTCATTAGATAGCCAGAATCTGTCCTTTATAGTTTGTCCAGTCTTCTGTTTCCTTGCTGCACAACAAGCTTTATGTCACTGCAGATAGAGACTTTGACAAGCCACTAATGTCACCCCAATGATGCCAACTGAAAATCTGAGCAGTATAAGAAAAGTCAAAAAAAATCCAAAGATCTTCCAGGCTACAGACATCTCTCTGTGGAAGAAAGGGTGTGTCATTTCAGCTCATAGGACCAGGCATGATATAGAATAAATGCTCTCTAGCTACATGTAGAATGATTACAAAATGAAACCTAAGGATACAATTCCTGTATTACTGTGACTGTTGAGGGAGCAGCTAAAGCATTTTGTGCTGATGGAGTCAGAGTAAAATCAGAAAATAATTGCTTTGATCTGTAAACTGTTTTAAAGAAAATACTGCAGAACTCAAAAAGGAATACAGTCTAGTGGCTCATAGAGGTAATAGTGAAATATAGCATTTTTAATTCAGAAAAAGGGAAAGAGAAGCCATAGAAGTATAAAGCAGCAGAATCCAGCAGAAGGATTAACATGCACAGTGCAGCCATTCACCCTAGAGCAAAGGAGAGTTCCAAGGGAAACTGATCATATTAAATGTGAAGCTAAAATTAGATGCTTGTAAAAGCAGATCAGGATGCAAAAATTAAAAGTAGGTGCTGTATCTGCAGAAAGTGATGGAGAATTAGATTTGAAGTCACCAGAGGAAGGTGATTTAGAGGATCATATGTATAAATGAGAAAATAAAAAGTAGTTGGGAACAGCAGCATGTATAACAACAGATAGATTCCCATCCCAAGGCATGGGGGGTGCAGCACATAAAATTACTACTGCTTTACACAAGAAATAACCCAAGGGATTTGGGACAAACAGTTTTTGATCTTGAGCCACAGAAAGCAAGCATGGCTGTGGACTGCCTCAAACTTTGAACTAAATTGAAATGAAACAGGTAAATTGATTAAAGCTTGCACTTACTCAGAGTAAAGTATCTGTATACAGCCTCCTCAATGACTGAATTAAGTCAAATTGCTGTGCAGGCAGGTAAGAAGGAAATGCAGCTGGCAGTAATAACATGAAGTCATGAGCCAAGAAAAGACAGAGCATGTTTTATGAATAAATGAGGAGTTGCTCAATTGTTGACAGGATGTAATAGCAAGTACAAACCACACGTTGCTGATGGGGTACAGGTACCTTCAAGCAGCAGGTACAATCCCCTGGCAGCAACAGCAATCAATCAAATTCCTTGAGTCTGATGGATTATGAGAACCAGCTGTCCAAATACACCCCCATTACCTGCAAGAAATGCGATGTAGCAGAATGAGAGGGAACCTACTTGGATAGCTGGAAGAATACTTTAAAATCTTACTATTATCAGTCTGGTCCAGGAGGTAAAAAACAAACAAACAAACAAATAAATAAATAAATAAAAAACCCCTAAACTAGGAAACCAGGGAGAGTTCCTGTGTCAGCCAACCAGAATCTGCAGTGAAACATTAACTGAAATCATGGACAGCAGAGAAGAGGATCTGGCAGAGGCAGTTTGCCTTGAGGAAAGAATGAAAGAAAAATATGGTTAGGGTTGGCACAGATTTCTCTAGCCCTTAGAGTGCTTGCCCTGGAACAAAGGGCAAAACCCTTGACTGTGCCCATGTGGGCACAAATATTAGGGATGACACAACTCAGCTCTATATTGCTGCTTTCCTGACACAAGATGAAGAATGAAATATCCAGGCAAGTAAAGTGCTACTGAGTGCAGGCAAGTTTTTGGAAATTGCAACTGAAAAGCATAAGAAAAATTTGTGAAAACACTAGTCCAAAATATTAATTTCTTTTCTCCTGCTCTAAGGTCTGTAGGAGGGTAGTGTTTATAAGCACACCTAAATTTACTTGACATGTCAGAAGGAGGGAATTCCACATTTGAGTCAGGCTCTAAAATGCAACTCAATAGCTGTTACTACCATACGTGGACTTGATCTTAAATATGAGGAACTTCCCTTCAATTTTAAGAGGTGGGAATCACTCCTACTCTAGAATTTTTTGACTAATTTAATTATTCAGATTAATGTTTAAAGGTGACTAAGCAACAAAAACTGACCTCTGGCTTTATGACAACTTTACTTTAGGCTACACAGCAAACCTGTTAGGAATAAACACGTTAAATGCTGCCACAAAAATAAAAGTAGATGACCCAGAATGATTTTCAGCATTACCACAGAAGCCTGACCCTCAGATCACTTGTCACAACACCCTAAACCACAAAGTACTAGCTTCCTTAAACACCTACTAATTCTGATGGATTCTATGCTTCACCAAGGGGTTTCCTATTGCTATCCCATACTGACCTCTCAGCTTTATATTCCTTCACTGGCACTATACAGACTTTTTTCCCACCATGGGTTTCTGATCAAAATCCCCCTCTCTAGCATCACACCAGGTATCATACACCACTTTACTTGCTAGAGTTACATAACTATAGCCTGCTACCAGAATAGTTCCTACAGTATGACAGGATTTTTATGAACTTGCTCCACTGATGGCTGCAAGAAAGATTGCTGCCAGCAGAGGATTACTTACCTGTAGAGAGCTGGCAGATCTCCAGGCCCTTTGTTCCCTCAGTACAGAGGGATCAAGCACACTGCATCTCCTGATAACAATGGTGACTCTTGTCTATCAGACAGTCTTTTTTTTTCCCCAATCTCATGAGACACTGAGTGTTTTGGTGCTGCCAGCATGAACATGATGTCAATTCAAAGGCAAAGGCTGCTCAGCCCTTTGTGGGTGTCCAGGGTAAATGAGAGCAGCTGCTTGTTCCTGCTGCATGATGCTTTCCATTTCATCTCAGCTGCAGGGCTCTAGCAGCCATCAAAGTCAGCAGTATTCTGCATCAATCCCTCGCCCTTACAAAGGGAAACAAGTCTTATCCTAGTGAGCCAGAAGTAGACACGTGGTTAACTCTTACTTTTTTAAAATCTCACTTGTTGTGGACTACACATCGCACTTACCTTGGCCTGTTAGCAACTCTGCATTTAGCTGTGTAGAACAGAGAGGTGTAGCCCGAATTTCTACAAAATATAACCACATATTTGTGATTCTCTGTTTTACCAGCTATAGTCCTGCCTGCCGTATTCTGTCTCCTTTTCTTTTGACGGAAAGTACTCTGGGGATGGGACACACTTGTTTCTTCTACAAAAAGTGTAAGGGAAAGTTTCAGCCCTAAGGGAAAAGTGTCTTTTTAAGTCCATATGAAGCTTAAGTTTTTGTTGAAACAATTAGTCATAGTGTGCTAAGCTTTCCAACTCTTTTTCAGTTGTTGGCTAGACCTCAGCCATCAAGGAGGCATATACTGATCTAATCCATTCCTGCTCTTGTGTGTGCAAAAATACACACAATTACCATTTTATAACTAGGCCATCCCAACAACTCTAACAAGTCTATTGGTGACAAAGTAGATAAGCACATAATAAATAGACAGGAAAATAGTTCTGTAAAAAATATCAAAGGTTAATAAAATATTTTAGCCACGTCATGTGTAACCTTACATTGCAAAGAATTATAAGATTGAAATTTAAACCTATAATTAGCAAGTTTTTTCTTAGGCAATATGAAAATAGGAGTTTTAGATTTTAAGATGAAACGTGTATTTTAAATAAACATGCACAAACAAGGACCCTCTGGCTGAAAGTCAAAATAACAGTGAGCAAAGACAAACAATGGCCCAAAAAAGAAAGCATTACAAAGAAGGTCCCTCTGAAAAAAAACTTGGTTTGACCTCTTACTCAAAGCAGTACTTTGATCAAGGGATAAATAATAATTTGCTTCAGATCTAGCTTTGAAATTTAAAATATAACAAAGAAATTACCAAAACATCTAAATACTGATCTTTGAAACCTTATCCCAGTGATCCTATCATATCTCACCATGATGAAATAACAGATTTTTATCTCAGATGTCTATAATTCTGCTAAGAAGAGAGTAACAGAAAAGGTCCAGCAGTTTTGACTTGACAAAAAAAAAAAAAAAAAAAAAAAATCCCACATACAGCAAAGTAAATTTTCTTACTACAACTTTTCTCTGTCCCTCTCTTCCTAGCTTTTCACAGTGATATAGATATAACATTACAGAACAAGCCATCTGTGACAACTGTCAGTTCAGAGGAACCTTAGATAATAGAAGAACTCACTTCAAGGAGGAGTGAGGATTCAAAATTTAAAGTTAGTATTTGGAACAATAAACTGATGCAAGTGAAGAGGTCAGAAAGGACTCCTCAAGAGTCATTGTGAGCAGGGCCACTTGAGAGGCAACATCTAGCAACAGAACACTTCAAAATAACACCTTGTATTTCTAATCAACTAAACTAACTCAGTACTTTAAATCTCAATAGAAGCTTTACATTCTCTCTTAGATACACCAAAGCTTTGTAATTGCTTTATGTGCAGACCTTCCCCGAGAGTCAAACTACAGTTATGGTTCAATGCAATTCTGCTGGGTAGGGCCTGGTAATAGAGATGAAAGAAAAACTTTGCATTCAACTTTTATCATCAATACTTCCAGAGAAGCTTCAAGACCCAGTTTCAGACCACTGCAGTGACAGGAGTCTACCCAGCCATAATTCATTTCCTGATGGTAAATGAAAGGCAAGCAGTGTGGGGCTACTGGAATAACACACATGCCATGGTCCACTTGCATTAACATCTACCCAAGCAAGGATATTGAGAGAGCTGAGTCAATCACTACAGTAAGACCAATCTGTTCAAAGACTTTTGAGTGTGAAGCTAAAAACCATTTCATGGTCGAGACCATTTGACAGTTTCATCAGCCCTTTAGGTCACAGCCCATTGTTGCTATAAAAAACCCCTGCAAACAAACTCATTATAGAAGTAACTGCTTTCATATCTCATTCCAAATGCAAGAATAATATTGTTCTTCCTAAACCCTCTGTCCCAGTCTTTTGCAATCTGAGAGGCAGTTCTTATCAGGAAAAGGTTCAGAACACAGACGGAAGGTTCTGAGAAAACTGCATTATTTTTCTGAGTGCTATACTTTTGGTGCAAGTGTTAAACTACATACTGCTTCTCTCTTTTCTTCCCTCAAAAGGCCTTAGTAAGGTGGGATAATACTTGGTACATTAGTAACCACCAAGGAAAGGTAGCCTGTTTTCTCACAGTAGTAGCATTGCTAATATTGTTAAACAGAAAACAGCAGAAGGTCATTGCTTTCAAATCCCCT